CTTTGCTTACAGACCGCACGAGGTACTCATTTGAGGATGAGTCGACCTAAGGGAGACCCATGATTGGTTCAGATGATCGTCGCTGGTGTTGGCCGTGAGCGGGAATCGAACTCGGGCCGCCGGGTTCGTAGTGCAGCATAGTGCTAACCAATGCGCCACCGCTCCCCATAATGCACACACACATACAGACCAACACACGGTCTGTATGCAGCAACAGCAGTGAATGGACAGGTGCGATGCACTTTCACTGGTGATGTGGATGGCGATGATGATGATGACGGTAACCCTGAATGGTGATCATAACGATCGTAACGATGACGCTGCTGCTGATGGGAACAATGGCGGTGATGACAACGATTACGACGACGTTGATGAAGCTGACGAAAATGATGATGACGATGATGATGATGATGACGACGATGTTGGTGACGCTGACGATTATGATGATGGTGACGATGACGACGACGAAGTTTGTGAAGCTGACGATCACGATGATGACGACGACGACGATGTTGATGAAGCTGATGATGATGATAACGACGATGACGACGATGACAACGACGGCGTTGGTGAAGCTGATGATCACGTTGACAACGATGATGACGACGACCACGAAGTTGGTGAAGCTGACGATCACGATGACGGCAATGCTGATGGTGGACAGCGGACGTGTGGCTACCGAAAGGAGCCGCCCTCCTGGATGGCATTCACTTTGCAGGCCTCTTTCAGCATCCAGTCACGCGGCGCATCTGTGTCCTCGTCCCTCCTCCTCATCAGACGAAGAATCTGCCTCATCAGCTCCTCCGAAAATTCCCCTACGGAGAATGACAACGCGGTGCACTGTGAGAGCCGTCGCTGCACGCGCAATGCATTATGGGAGCCGCACAACCAGAGCCTGCGACCAGACACGCGGTGCATTGTGGGAGCTGCACAACCACAGCCTACGACCAGACACACGCAGTGTATTGGAAGAGCCGAACATCACAGCTGCAACCAGACACGCGGTGCATTGTGGGAGCCGGCGCTACACGCGGTGCATTGTGGGAACCACACAACCGCAGCATGCGACCAGACACGCGGTACATTGTTGGAGCTTGCATTGCACATGGCGCATTGTGCGAGCCACACACAAATGCTGCGACAAGACACGCGGTGCATTGTGGGAGCCACGCACCACCAGCTTATGACTGGACACGCGGTGCATTGTGCGAGCCACACACCACAGCTGCGACCAGACACGCAGTGCATTGTGGGAGCCACACACCACAGCTGCGACCAGACAACGCGGTGCATTGTGGGAGCCACACACCACCAGCCTGTGACCAGACACGCAGTGCATTGTGAGAGCCACACACCACCAGCTTGTCACCAGACACGCGGTGCATTGTGGGAGCCACACACCACAGTTGCGACCAAACACGCGATGCATTGTGGGAGCCACACACCACCAGCTTGCGACCAGACACGCGGTACATTGTGAGAGCCACACACCACCAGCTTGTCACCAGACACGTGGTGCATTGTGGGAGCCACACACCAACAGCATGTCACCAGACACGTGGTGCATTGTGGGAGCGACATACCACAGCTGCGACCAGACACGCGTTGCATCGTTGGAGCCACACACCACCAGCTTGAAACCAGACACGCAGTGCATTGTGGGAGCCACACACCACCAACTTGTGACCTGACACGCGGTGCATTGTGGGAGTCACACACCACCAACTTGTGACCTGACACGCGGTGCATTGTGGGAGTCACACACCACCAGCTTGTGACCCGACACGTGGTGCATTGTGAGAGCCACACACCACCAGCTTGTGCACAGACACGCGGTGCATTGTGGGAGCCACACACCACCATCTTGTCACCAGACACGTGGTGCATTGTGCGAGCCACACACCACCAGCCTGTGACCAGACACGCTGTGCATTGTGGGAGCCACACACCACCAACTTGTGACCTGACACGCGGTGCATTGTGGGAGCCAAACAGCACCAGCTTGCGACCAGACACGCGGTGCATTGTGGGAGCCACACACCACCAGCTTGTGACCCGACACGTGGTCCATTGTGGGAGCCACACACCACCAGCTTGTGACCACACACGCGGTGCATTGTGGGAGCCACACACCACCAGCTTGTGACCCGACACGTGGTCCATTGTGGGAGCCACACACCACCAGCTTGTGAACAGACACGCGGTGCATTGTGGGAGCCACACATCACCAGCTTGTGAACAGACACGCGGTGCATTGTGGGAGCCACACACCACCAGCTTGTGACCACACACGTGGTGCATTGTGGGAGCGACACTCCACCAGCTTGTGGCCACACACGCGGTGCATTGTGGGAGCCACACATTACCAGCTTGTGACCACACACGTGGTGCATTGCGGGTGACAGGGTGGCACAGTGGCCGAAGCTCGTGCCTCACAGCGACAAGGGGCCCTCTGTGCTCGACTTCCCGGATCGGGCGCTCCTCTCTGTGTATGGAGCTCTTAGTGTTCACCCTGCCTCCTCCTCCGGGTTCCCCGCTGCTTCTCAACATGGATCCGGAGGCGCTTGGCCGAACGCCGCCCCAATGCTGAGGCAGTTCCCTGCGCATCCCCCAGCGGGTTCGATTCGCTGCCGTTATCTGCCCCACCCACACGGCACCAGCAACATCACTGCCGCCTCCTCCCCCGCCTTGTACCGCGGGCACGTGAGCCGTTCAGATTTGGCGAAGCTCTCATGACAAGAGCAAATCGAGTGATCCTGACCACTGTCATTTCATCGTGGTAGTAATAGTAATAACTTCAACTTGTAACCCATCGCTGTCGCAGTATTTGCTCCATGATCTCACGGAGATAGAGAAAGGACGACTCATAGAGATGGGCTCACCGTGTGTCTCGAGCAGCTGCAGCAGCAAGTGGACACGCCGCGTGGATCGGGCGGAGAGCGCGGGGGGGTCCCGGAGCGAGCTGCACGCCGCCTGCACGCAGCTCGCCACCAGGCGGCGGGCGCTGCCCACGGACGTCTGTTGGTGCACAGACACAGATACCGATCCAGCCCCCGAACCACCACCCCCCACCATCCCCACCACCGAACCCCCCACCACCGCACTCCCCACTCCCCCCACCACCGCACTCCCCCACACCCCCTCACCCCACCACCACCCCCACCATCGAAGCCCCCACTCCCCCCACCACTCCCCCCACCACCCCCACCACCGCACTCCCCCCACACCCCCTCACCCCACCACCACCACCCCCACCATCGAACCCCCCACTCCCCCCACCACCCCCACCACCGCACTCCCCCACACCCCCTCACCCCAACACCACACTACCACCACCCCCACCATCGAACCCCCCACTCCCCCCACCACTCCCACCACCACCCCCACCACCGAACCCCCCACTCCCCCCAACACCCCCACCACCGCACTCCCCCACACCCCCTCACCCCAACACCCCACCACCCCAACACCCCCCCACCCCATCATCATCGTCGTCATCATGATCGTCATCATCGTCGTCATCGTTATCATCATCGTTGCCATCATCGTCGTTATCATGATCGTCATCATCGTCGTCATTGTTATCATCATTGTCGTCATCATCGTTATCATCGTCGTCGTTGTTATAGTTGTTATCATAATTGTCAACATCGTTGTTATCATCATCATCCTCGTCGTCATCATCGTCGAGTATAACCGCATCAACTGCTGACATGGGTGCGGACGCTGCAGCAGGCCCGCTGATTCTTTCTGAGCGGCAGTGGCAGCGGCAGCATCATCAGTCAAGCTGGGTTGTTCGAAGGTTAAGGTCCATAGTGTGATGACTCTATCATGCTAGCTGGTATCGTGGTCCATAGGGGGACCATGGTGGCTATGAGATGTTAACTACCTCGCCTGGTATACAGGAGGTCGTGGGGTTCGACCCCAACCCTGACGCCTGCTGCTGTATATTTGGAGTCTGCATGTCTCTCTCTCATCATCATCACGGTGGCAGTGGCCGGTAGTGGCATGGGGCAGCAGTACCCAATTGTCGGCAAGTTATCACCTAAGGTCTACGAAACAGAAGTGCCAAGGGCTTACAAGAACCTCAATCCAGCCCTACCAACCGTAGAAAGTTCCAACCAATGTACCCGCGTGAGAACCAAGCGCAGTGACGGCAGAGGTGGCAGAGGTAGCAGTGACATGGCGCAGCAGTAAAATTCTGTAGGTAGTTATCACTGAAGGCTTAGGAAACAGAAGTGGCTCGGGCCCACAAGAAACTTAATCCGGCACTATCGCAATCCCACAGAGCCGAGACGGCGAATTTAGAACCGATGACACAATTGGTATCAAACAGCCGCGCCTTGCTCCATACCAGCCCAGGTGTTCGGCTGGGCACACTCCGCAGGTAACCTCTCCCCTCCTCCTCCAGCTCCTCCCCCTCTGTGCTTTCTGTTGGGAGGGGGAGGGGCGAATAAGACAAAGGGCCCCCCAGGATAACCTTGAACAGACGATGGGGGCAAGTGCTGTTCGCGATGGGTACCAATGTAGGCCGGCACGGTGCACGAGGGGGGGGGGGGTAGGCACTCGCAGTGCACTGAACCGTGCTGTGTGCATGCCTGGTTGTGATTTCGCGGGGCGATTTGGAGCACCATCGGCCACCCCGGAAAATACCACGGTGTCCGTAGCAAACTGGCACTGCCTCTCATACGTGTGGACCGATTATATGGACGGCAAGGATAACGATGGGGGACGTGTTCTTGTGTTGCTTGCTGTGATCAGCCGTTCCTTTTAGACTCTCGTCTGGCGAGCACCTGAACGTGTGACCCCGCAGCAGCGCGCGAACACCTCGCTGAGAGAGAGGCCCCACATGGAGACGACGTCGCCGAGCAGGTCCTCGGAGCTGCGCAGGTCGTCGATGTGGACAGAGATCCACTGGCCTGAGGGGTCACGTGCACGGCGGCGGGGGCGGGCATGAAGCATCGACATGACGGACGTCGACACGACCAACGTCGACACGACCAACATCACCATGATGAACATCAACATCACAAACATCAACCATCACGATGAACATCAACATGATTAACATCAACCATCAACATGATGAACATCAACATGACGAATATCAACATGACAAACATCAACATGATGAACAACAACATGATCAAAATCACAGCATGATGATTATCACAATATCAATGTCCCATCACTGTATATGTTCATTGTGTGGTGCTGTCCTTCCATAACAAATATTAAGGGTGACTGCTCATGGTGCTGGTGTTCCACAACTACCAGCACCACCGCCATCAACTCCACCATTATCTCCACCATCACTGCCACCACCATCACCACCTCCACCATCACTACCACCACCTTCAACACCACCACAACCATCTCCACCATACCACCACTGCCATCAACACCACCACCAGCTCTACCACCACCAGGACCACCGCCATCTCCACCACTGTGACTCACCCCCGTGGAAGCCCACATATTGGGAGGAGGTGGTGGTGGCCACGCGCGGCAACTTGGTGATGAAGATGACGTGGACACGCGATCGTGCCGCGCCAGCCCGGCTCCTCTCGTTCATGGCGCAGTACCTGCGGTGGCGCACACGGCACACACGCGCACGGCGCACATGGCAGACCGGTGATGTAGATGATGGTGGACGTACGACTGCGCCGTGCAAGTAAGATCGGACTGTGGCGGAATCACCGATCTTGCTGCTGTGAGCCAATCAAATAAAAGGGGGAAGAGTCACGTGTTTTCATTTCAGTTTTTCAGTTTCATTTATTATGTATAGCCCTGTGAGCCATTCGGCTCTTGAATCGGGTGCAACCGCAGCTTACAAAAAACAAAAACATGAACAAGAAAACATCTTAAATTGACTATGCGCAAACAGAGAAATCCAGGAAAGCATTATTAGAGAAGCATGGGAGGTGGGGGGAAAGGCGGGAAAGGGAGAGGGGGGGGGTAGAGGGGAGGGGGGGTTAGAGGGTGCTCACTTGGCGCATGCCACCAGGTTGGGTCCGTGGCTGAAATCCTCGAAGTCCGACTGGATCAGCAGGAGGCATCGCCGGTCGCCGGGCGCCGAGAACACCTCGCTGCAGACAGGGACGGCCATCAGCCGATATCGCAGACTCTCAGCGCGAGTCCAGCGGATCGCGGACTGTTGGGGCGACTGCTGCCAGGTAGCGAGTAGCGGCAACTGTGATGGCCGGCATGGCGCATGAAGGGGGCGGGTGGCCAGCGACACGCCCGGCCGCCTTTGTCTCCCCAGTGGCGATGTTTGCACGCCGCACCAGCTGCTCATTTGAGGCTTTAGGGGAGTCCCAAGAAGCGGGTCATATAACCGCCACTGGGTTGATAGCGCAGCACTCTATCAGTTGCACCACTGCTACCCAGCCTACCACCATCACCACCACTACCACTACCCAGACTACCACCACCACCACCGCTCCCTAGACTACCCCCATAACCACCACTACCGCTCCCCTTGACTACCACCATCACCACCATTACTGCTCTCCCAGACTACCACCATCACCACCGCTCTCCAGACTACCACCATCACCACCGCTACCGCTCCCCAAACTACCACCATCACCACCACTACTGCTCCCCAGACTACCACCATCACCACCGCTATCGCTCCCCAGACTACCACCATCATCACCGCTACCGCTCCCCAGACTACCACCATCACCACCGCTCCCCAGACTACCACCATCACCATCGCTCCCCAGACTACCACCATCACCATCGCTCCCCAGACTACCACCATCATCACCGCTACCGCTCCCCAGACTACCACCATCACCACCGTTCCCCAGACTACCACCATCACCACCACTCCCCAGACTACCACCATCACCATCGCTCCCCAGACTACCACCGTCACCGCCACGGCCGTCGCTCACCGGACGCGCTTGCTGAAGGCGTGCTCCGTGTCGATCTGCTGCAGGGCCAGCAGGACGAAGTCTGCGGGCGGATGGCTCACGGCCTTGGCGATGATCCCGGTGTCCGTGGCGGTCAGCAGCCGGGCGTGTGTAGTCACCTGGTGGGGGGATCGGATGGGGGGGGGAGGTGTTGATAGGGAGCTGACGATATGAGGTCCACGTTGTTTGGAAGCCAACCAGTGGATGTTCTGTCGCCAGACTTCGTTCACCCCCTACTACGATGTCACCGGTTGACGCTGCAACCGCCACTGCGCTTTGGTTTCTCCTCGCTCTTATAGAGAGAGAGGGGGCGACTTAGTGAAAGAGGGGGGGCGGCGACTTAGTGAGAGAGAGAGAAAGGGGGTGACTCAGAGGAGCAAGGAGGAGAGACCACAGACGAGGAGCTACCAACAATGCCCCGAGCTCTGCGGTCCTCCATATAGTCATCTGTTATCGCCAAATGAATGAGTGTCCATACATGCGGGACGAAACTGGAGCGCCCTAAAATCAAATAATAGAAATGATTAAATAACATTTTTTTAGAACAAAATTAATAGTTAAATAACGGAACGGCAAATTGGTAAAATAATAAAATAATACAAGCTATAGGATTAAGCTAAATAATAAAAAAATAATGCAAATAATACAATTATAACGAATCTTACCTATAAACGTCACTTTTTGTCTGTCTGTCTGTCCCTCTGTGTACGCTCGCTTGCGAGAGATTTGGCGCTCGGACCGTGGGGTTTAGGACGAAATTGCCAGGAAGCACGTCCCGTGCCCCGCGGTGGGAATAGGCATTTCCGTTTTTTCATCCGTCGCCTTTAAAGCGGTTTAATTATCGATTTAGTGCGATTTCTCATTATTTATTTATTTTCTCTTGCCGGCCGGCACGTGACGAAGCACCCATTTGCGCATGCGCAAGGGCGGTTGCCTCTGGTAATGGGCGGTTGCCCCTGGCAACGGGCAGCAACGCCGTCACTGCGGGGTGGACGCCATTTTTAATTCCCATTAAAAATATGCACACGCAATAACACGCGACGCTGAGGTAAATTCATCAAAGTTTCACGTCCTCATCACTCCCCCCCCCACCCCAATGTGTGCAATTACTATTATAGGGTCGGTAGATAATACAATTATAGCGATTAGACAGTATTTTTGTATTGCGGGGGGGGGGGGGGGGGGGGTAGCGGCCCCAGCACCCAGCCTCGGCTGGGTGGGCAATCTAGGCGAGGCTGGAGGCTCTGCACGGTACTAGGCCTCGACACCCCACACTTGTCAGGCGAAGACTTTGTGCTATAAACTCGATATACCCAGCGTTGCCCGGGGGGTGAAATACATTTAAAATCTTCTGAAAACTTTAAAACATAACATACCAATGAAAATACATCTCTGAATCGCGCAAAGGATTCGAAGGTTGTAGACTCCTTTAGAATCGGCCGATTCCCGTTTAATATAAGTTGGTTAATATAAACTGCTATTAAAAAAACTTCTGAAAACTTGAAAGCATAACATATACAAATGAAAAGAAAACTCATTAACTAAAATGAAACCCAAGCGCGCCAAGATTCGATTCTTTAAATGTAGACTGCACAAATAGTTATTACGCTGGGTGAGTGTACTGGCAAAGTCACGTAGGTAAAAAATCTAATAAAAATTAATAAAAATAAAATAATAAAAATCACGACGTTTCGGAGGCAACACAAGTCTCTGTCATCAGGTGGGACCGTCACAGCCAGATTTGCTGTATCAAGTGAGGTTTTTTAAATTAATTTTAATTTCATTTTTTACCTACGTGACTTTACCGAAAAAACTAAGAGTATGAATCCTTGCAGTCACGAAAGCTTCAAATCTAGAAGTGTACTGGCAGTCTATAATGTAGACTGTCTCCTGGTTATTAAGCTGGGTGAGTGTACTGGCAGTCTATAATGCAGACTGTAGCCTGGTTAATTTTCTTGGTTCTTTCGGTAAAGTCACGTAGAAGGGAAGTAATAAAATAATAAACATAAAACATAATAATATAATTCTCACGACGTTTCGGCCACAACGCAAGCAGCCGTCCTCAGGTGAAGACCAGGTCTGTCGGGGAGACAGCGTCTGAATGAAACACCACCACGCTTGGAGCGTATATTTAAGCTGGGTTGGAAGGGGTCAGTCACGAAAGCTTTAAATCAAAATGTAGCCTGGTTATTAAGCTGGGTGAGTGTACTGGCAGTCTATAATGTAGACTGTAGCCTGGTTATTAAGTTAGGTGAGTGTCCTGGCAGTCTATAATGTAGACTGTAGCCTGGTTATTAAGCTGGGTGAGCGTACTGGCAGTCTATAATGTAGACTGTAGCCTGATAACAGTGATACCTCGGTTCACGAACTTAATTCGTGAACTGACTCTGGTCGCGAACCGAATTGGTCGTGAACCGAGGAACATTTTCCCATAGGGTTCAATGTAAATCCGGTTAACCCGTTCTGACCTTTTTTTTGGTTTTTGAAGCACAAAAATATGAAACAAATTACAATACACATTAGTACTGTACAGTATAGTAATGTATAAAGAGAGAACACTAACCTTGCTTGAGATGACTTCAGTAAGTGAACTGTACAATACAGTAAGTACAGTATTGTACAGTACAGTACAGTAGTAAAGTACTGTATGTGCTAAAAAGCACACCAAAAAGCAAAAAGTCACTGAAAGTGTCTTCACAGTACTCACAGTCCTTCTTTCTGTCTCTTCTTCTCTCCACGATCTTCCTACAGGAAGTCACGACCATGTGACAGCCTGGAAATAGCATTAAAATGGCCGCGGCTCCTGTTCGTGAACCGAAGCGGAGTTCGTGAACCGAAACATATTTTTATGAACTTTTCTGTTCGTGAACCGAGTTGTTCGTGAACAGAAGCGTTCGTGAACCGAGGTATCACTGTATTAAGTAAAGTGAGTCATTTTTTGTCTGTCTGTCTGTCCGTCTGTGTACGCTCGCTTGCGAGGGATATGCCGCTCGGACCGTGGGGTTTAGGCCAAAAAAATGTGGCAGGGAGGCACGTCCCTTGCCCCGCGGTGGGAATAGGCATGTCCGTTTTTCACCCGTCACCTTTAAAGTGGTTAAAAAAATCGATTTAATGATATTCAACATTATTTTTTTATTTCCCCGTGCCGCTCCGCGCGCGACATTTGCGCATGCGCGAAACGCTGACCGGGGGTTGCCTCTGGCAACGCACACACGCGCCGTTGGGGGAGGGGGATTTTCATTCTGTGGACAAGCTTACAAGGTGAGTCGCGCTTATTAACAGCTCCGTTAAAACATAGATAGATATTACTATTTACTACTTCTTTCTTACTCTGAATTATTAGGTAAGAAGATGATAGAGGTCGAGCAATGTTTGATGATCGTACACGATGTAACACGATTTTTTCCCCTGCGTAATAAATGTTACCTTTTACGTGCTCATGCCTCAAAAGTTCAAAAAAGGCTATAATTCCCCACAAACTTTGCTTTTGTGACCAGGACTTTACGTAAAGGAATGACACAAATGCACACCGCGTTTTATCATTGAAAATAGCTATATTTCTAAATATCACTGTCCTTGTCACAAAAGCTAAGTTTGAGGGGAATTATAGCCTTTTTGGTACTTTTGAGGCATAAGCATGTAAAAAGTAACATTGACTACCCAGGGACTAAAACAATCATCACTTTTCTGTTGCACAGTGTTTATTATCGATCCAAAATTTTATCTTTTAAGAGTTTTTAAAAAATAAATTATAAATAAATCTCTTTCCTTTTCGCTCCAGCTTATTCACACTTCCCTCCTCCTTGCGGGGGTTGGTCAGTGAGATTTGTTCATGCGGGTTAATTTGTGTGCATTTGGACATAGTTACAGGTAAAATAAGTTTATTATAATGAGTCAATTTTTATTTCACACTTTCGCTCGCGGCAAATTTTTAAATCAAAATGGCGGAAAATGTATTATCGTACTTAATTAATTATTTAAAACGGGTGCCTTTCATTTATTATTTGCCTCTTTCGGTAATGTCACGTAAATAGAAACATAAGGACAATACATTAAGTTTATTTTAAGCATTTTTTTTAGGTGTGTATGTCCAAGTGTGTGTGTAACACTGACTACCCAGGGACTAAAAAAATCACTTTTCCTTTGCACAGTGTTTATTAACGATACAAAATTTGATCTTTTTAGACTTTTTTCATTTTAAAAATTAATTATAAATAAATATTTATTTTTCGCTCCGGCTTTGATTGCTGCGCATCTGCTCATATCTTCAGGTATGATACTTTTTTTTCTTTTCATTTATTTCGTTTTCAAATTATTTCTTGGCAAAATTGAAAAACAACCTGCCGGCGAAACCCTCTACTTCATCTATTATCAACTTATCGTTTGATAAGTTCATAATATTTTTTTAGATATAGTACTGAGGTTATTGTATTGTTATGTTGCTAAAATGATAGGAGTCACATTTTTATGCTTTATAAAATTTCGTTGGTGTGCATCTCATAATTAAAGATACATGAATGCTCCTCTGAAGAAAACTTGGAAATAAAGATCACAGGAGGAGAGAGATAGGCCAGGCCGATTACGCTAACAAGCTTGCTGAGTGGTGACGGGAGTGACGTTTTTCTTCGTGGCAAAAATGCCAAAAAGTAAAAAATCAAGCCTCTCCAAGAAAAAAAAACATCCGAAGGGAGTGGCGCTGTACCACGCAAAACAAACAACGCAGGAGCAGCAACTTTCTCAACCAAACAACGAAGGTGTCTCAGTAGCACAGGCTGAGGAAACTGAAGAGCAGCGTGCACTAAAACAAACGACTGACTGCACAGCCACTGCAGCAACCCAAGCTGCAGTCAATCTTGAACATGGTACATCTCGACAAGCCAGAAACCGCACATGCACTGCAGCGGCACGGGTTGAGGAACACCCTGAACATCGTGCATCTCGACAAGCCAGGGACCGCACAGTCACTGCAGCGGCACGGGTTGAGGAACCACAAAATCATAAAATGGTGCGCCAGAGGCAAGTCCGTGATGCGGCTGCATTGAGAACAATAAGAAATAACTCGGACTGGAACAGATCAGCTTTTATTTACCAACCAGAGATCGATTATCAATCCATGGTGATGTTAGGCTGTATGTCAATTACTTGCGCAGAATGTGGTGCCAAAAAGTGGAAAGGAGAATCCAAGGGAATGTGCTGCAGTGATGGAAAAGTCAAACTTTGCCTTGTGCAGACGCCCCCCGAGCCACTCAAATCCTTGGTATCTGGTCATACCCCGGAGTCTAAAAACTTTTTGACCAACATCAGGAAGTACAATTCCTGCTTTCAAATGACTTCTTTTGGTGCGACTATGGAGATAGTGGAGCCAGGATTTATGCCCACATTCAAAGTTCAAGGCCAAGTCTATCATCGAATTGGATCCATTCAGCCACTGACTGGCGAAGAGCCAACGTTTATTCAGATATACTTCATGGGAGATGAAGGTCAGCAAGGCAACCAGCGATGCAGCAATGTTCCTGGTGCCAGACTAGAAATTGTCCTCTCCCTCCAAGGGATGCTCAACCAACACAATTTATTGGTTACAAGTTTCAAACATGCAGCACAACAAGTCACCTCCAATGATTATCAGGTTGTAATCAGTGCATCCAAGGTCCCAAGCGGGGAGCATGCACGGAGGTTCAATGCCCCAACTTGTGGTGAGGCTGCTGTTCTCATGGTGGGTGAAGAACATGGTAAGAGAGACATTGTGCTTCGATACCAAGACAACACCATCAAACGAATTCCTGAGACAAACAGAGCATATGATGCCCTACAATACCCCATTATATTGTGGCAAGGGCAAGATGGGTACCACGTCCAGATTCCTCAAATTATAAAAGCAACTGGACAAAGTCATCCTAAAAAAACTGTCTCCTCTAAGGACTTCTATTACTTCATGGACAGGGAAGGCGGAAACCACATATTGAGGTGCGCCAACCTCTTTCACCAGTATGTTGTTGACGAGTATGCCAAAATTGAGAGTGAGCGCCTTCTTTACATTCAACTCAATCAAAAACGCCGGCGTGTAGAACAGTACGTTCATCTCAGGGATGCTATCAATGCCGAAGGAGATGCAAACGTTCAGAATGTGGGGAGATTAGTTATCTTGCCTTCATCCTTCACAGGTGGCCCAAGATACATGCACGAGAGAACTCAAGATGCCATGACCTATATCAGGCAATATGGCAGGCCCGATCTCCTTATCACCTTCACTTGCAATCCAAAATGGAAGGAGATCCAGGTTGAGCTATATCAAAACCAAAAGCCAACAGAGAAACATGACATCATTGCAAGGGTGTTTAAACTCAAAGTAGATGAACTCATGAGGCTCATTACTACAAAGGAAGGCGGCGTCTTTGGGAAGACAAGATGTAACTTGCACACAATTGAGTGGCAAAACGTGGTCTTCCTCATGCTCACATATTGCTATGGATGAGGGAAAAAATGCAAATGACATTGACTCATTCATCTGTGCTGAGCTACCTGACCCGAATCAAGACCCTGCTCTATTTGATGTGGTCTGCAAGCAAATGGCCCATGGCCCATGTGGGGAGTTCAATCCAAAATCGCCATGTATGCAAGACCGCAAGTGTACCAAGAAGTTTCCAAGAAACTTCTTGAAAGAAACTCAGGCAGAGCATGATGGCTATCTTCTATATCGTCGCAGAAATATAGAAGATGGTGGATTTGAAACAACGCTCAGACCTGGCACTAACTCTGAAATGAAGGTTGACAACCAGTGGATCGTTCCCTACTGCCCTCTTCTGTACACGATCTTTGAGGCCCACATTAATGTGGAATTCTGCAATTCTGTGAAAGCCATCAAAGATGTTTGCAAATACATCAACAAAGGGTCTGACATGGCTGTGTTTGCCTTACAAAAAGAGGGGCAAAGTGTGGATGAAGTTCAGCTTTTTGTCAAAGGAAAATACATAAGCACCAAAGAGGCCATTTGGATAATTCTTGGCTTCCCCATCCACGAGCGTTCCCCCACGGTCCATTTGGCAGTTCACCTCGAAAATTGTCAACGCATCTACTTCACCGAAGGAAATGCCCAAGAACAGGCCCTGGCTCCACAAGATACAACCCTGATGGCGTTTTTTTTGTGTGCCAAAGTGACCCATTTGCTGCCAACCTGCTCTACCATAAAGTTCCCTCTTACTATACATGGACTGCTCAAGATAAATGGAAGCGACGTGCTGGTGACGGTGAATCTGATGCCTTGGGAAGAGTCTACAAAGTTCATCCCAACAATCAGGAGTGCTACTTTCTGCGAATGCTTCTCCATGTTGTGAAAGGGCCAAAATCTTTCCAAGACCTCAAAATAGTGGAAGGAGTTGTTTGTGAAACATACAGGGAAACTTGCAATCTTTGTGGAATTCTTGATGATCAGCATCTTGATAAAGCTATGACAGAAGCTTCTGTTAGTCAGTCCCCTTCTCAACTCAGATTGCTCTTCTGCATAATTCTTCAAGTTTGCAGCCCATCTAACCCCATGGGACTCTGGGAAAAAATACAAAGAGGGCATGAGTGAGGACATCCTCCACAGAGCTCAACAAAAAAATCCCAACCTCGAGGTGAACTTTTCTGATGTCATCTTTAACCAGGCCCTCATCCTCCTTGAAGACAAACTTTGCTCAATTGGTGGAAAAGACCTCAAATCTTTCGGACTGCCAACACCCTCCAGGGACAACCTGCATGCCCTTGCCCAAGAGATTGTACGTGAAATATCCTATGATGGCTTAGAGCTTCTTAAATTTATTGAGGAGAATGAACCAAAGCTGATGGATGCACAAAGAGAAGCCTACAAGAAAATCTTGGAAGACATTGAGTCAAAAAACTGGAGGCATGTTTTTCCTTGATGCACCTGGCGGTACTGGGAAGACCTTTGTTCTCAACCTGCTCCTGGCTAAGGTTCGCCAGAGGCAGAAAATTGCTCTGGCTTTGGCATCGTCAGGGATTGCATCGACTCTGCTTATTGGAGGAAGAACTGCCCATTCCACATTCAAGCTTCCATTAGATCTATCCCGACAAGAAAACCCCGTTTGCAATATTTCAAAGGGAACTGCCCTTGCACAAGTCCTGGTTAATTGTGAATTAATAGTGTGGGATGAATGCACCATGTCCCACAAGGGAGCATTTGAGGCTGTCAACATAACTTTGCAGGACCTCCGCAAAAATTCCAGGATTATGGGTGGTGTAACTTTTCTCATGGCTGGTGACTTCCGACAAACCTTACCTGTAGTACTTCGAGGGACCAAAGCTGATGAGTTAAATGCCTGCATCAAGTCTTCATTCCTCTGGAGACACGTAATGAAACTGCGGCCTATGGCAGCCCTGACGTCAGCGGGCCACGTGATATACCAGAGGGGGAACGAGGGGAAAGGTCACAGAAGGGGCACACCAAGAACCTGCTAGTGGGTTCGAGAAAGGGGGCGTGGCCGGGGGCAGAGCCACCATCATCATCGTCGTTATCGTCGTTATCATTGACATCGTCATTGACATCGTCGTCGTCATCGTCATCATCTCTTCTACCCCCCTCCGCCCCACAGCTCTTACCACCAACATCGCTCAAACCGAGCCGCGCGGTTGTCAAACTCTCATGGTGCCTCTCGTCACTTTTCATCACTCCCCAGAACCCCCCCACCCCTGCACCCCCAGCCTCCCCCCCCGGCCCAATCAGCAGCTGCTCTGAAAGCAAACACCGGGAGGGCGAGGCGCTGGTGCGTGGCGGGTTACCTCCACCAGCAGGCCGTCGATCGCCAACTCCAGCTGCTGCCGTACGAACTCCTGCAGAGAGCCGTGCTGCTGGTGCACGAAGTACTTCTGCCAGATCTCCGCTGCGGCGGCCGACAGGCCGCTGTGCCGCAGCCTCACGACGGCGTCCGGCGCCGCGCACCTCAGCAGCGTCTCCTGGGCCTCCGCGAGCGGCCCTTCGAGGCCCTCTGGGATATCCGGCGCCATGCGGCTCGCGACCTGCAGGGCCACCGCGGCGCAGGCGTCCGAGTGGTAGCCGACGATGACGGCGGCGATTCGGGGCCCTATCCCACCGCCGGCCCTCCCATCCTCCCCCTCCTCGTCGTCCGGCCACCGGCCCCCACTCGTCTCATCCCCGACCATCTCCGCGAAGCTCCGGAGCCAGCACCGGAGCGCCTCCGCCAGCCGGCGCTGCCCCTCACGCAGCACGACGCCCATGTCCAAGAAGTGCTTCTCCAGGCGGTTGACGAGCGGGACGGGGAAGTGGCGGTGGACAACGCGCGACTCCTCGATGACGACGAGGCGGAATCGCCGGTGCACGCGGCACTTGACGCGGTGCGTGCCCAGCCCCAGGTCTACATACCGCTGCCCACCCAGGTGAACGTAGTACTGGTTGAGCGCATCGTAGAGGCTCTCGTAGAGGCCCTGTAAGTTGAGCAGCACCACCATCCTGCCGGCCTCCATGCACACCTTGATGCGGTTGATGGTGCGGCACACCTGCGTGTACTCCTGGTCCCGGGGGAAGCTTGAGCCGAAGATGATCTCGGCACCATCCGCCAGGCCCAGGGAGGCGTCCTGCTGCAGGATGGAGAGCGCCGAGTAGTTCTGCGTGAGAAGGAGGAGGTACCGGCACTCGGTCTCGTCAGCGCCGGAGGCGATGTTCTCCCTGACGAGGCTCAGCGGATCGTGGGAGCCCTGGTCCGCCACGCCGAAGATCGCCAGCGGCTCGACGTCTGAACTGCCGCCGAAGTTCCTCAGGATGGCCCGCCGCAGCTCCGGCACCGTCGGATTGGAGCCGGACCTCTGACAGGTGCCAAACAGCATCTTGACGAGGCTGTAGAAGTCCCGGAGGCCGAAGAAGCCCCTCTTCTGCCGCTCGCACACCCTCAGGTAGCCGTCGGCCAGCATCGAGAAGAGTCCTTCGAGCGCGGACAAGATGAGGCTATCCGACGAGCAGATCCCCCTCGCGGTTGCCACCAGCTCGGCCTTGTCCGAGCTCCCCCTAGCGACGAAAATCCCGCGGTTCATCTTGGCCGGGTCCAGGGCCCAGTTCGAAATGCCCACGAAGCCCACCTTCTGGTGGGGCGTTGGGTCGTCGTCCACGGAGCCGTCCTCCAGCAGCGGGTGCAGCGCTTTGAGCGGCATCTTGGGCGAGTCCTCGGCCAGGCCCACCTCATCGAGGACAACGACCGACACGAACTCCTCCAAGTTCTTGCCCTCCTGGAAGCGGGCGCACTGCCTGAACGTGCCGACGATGCCCTCTGAGGTGGAGTGCGGGCTGCACTGGAAGGACACAGCGTGGATCTGCTTGAAGCGCCTGTAGAATTCCGTGGGCGCGACGGGCCCCTGCATGGCGTGCGACACCACTGCTTTGGCGAGCGATTTGGAGCTGCCCGGCTTGCCAACGAGGAACAACGGGATCCTCAGCTCGGCGCACACCACCATCATGAAGACGTTCTCCCGGAGCGCGGCGTTCCTGGCGATGGTCTCACCCAGCTCCAGGTTCCCCAGGAACAGCTCCTGGCAGGCAGTGATCTCCGCGAGCACCCGGTCGGGGTTGTCAAACGGTGCGGGCAGCTCCTCGCAAACGCTCCTCCTGTAGCCCTCGCGATCCCGCATTGAGCAGTGGTAGCAGACGCCGACGGCCACGATGAGAGCCCTCGCGATGGCGTCCAGAGCGGCGCGGCCGCCCGGCGGGATCGCACCACTCGCGAAGAGCGCCTCCTGCCGGGCATAGAGCCAGAGGAAGACAGCGATGCACCGCTCGGCGTCGCGCAGACTCGCGAAGCCGCACTCGTCACGCCGGCTCCGCACATGGCGCTGCGAGGCGGCCAGCACGCGAGCGACGAGGGCCGCACTGCCCGCGGGGACGCCGTGCGGCGTGAGGGCCCGCTCGACGATCTGGCCGATGTACCGCCCCTCGTTGTCATCGCTCAGCCGCCCAAAGTCCCACACGAGCGGCATGAGCGAGGGCGGGAGGGGGTGTACGCGGTACACCAGGTGGCGCAGCGGGATCCTGCCGAGCCTCTCCGCCGTTTGTGATGCCGCCATCCGGTAGCCCAGCCCGGATGATTCCAGCTGCCGGATCTTGGCCTCTGAGTGCATCCGGTACGGGTTGCAGGCCGCGACTATCTTGAGGCCGCAGTTGGCGTCGAACGGCTCGCCGTCGACTGTGCCGTCGCACAGGGCCTCCTTGATGGCATGGATCGCCTCCGTAGTGTTGGCCTCATCGAAAAACAACACCGTGTCCAGCCCAAACCTCACCTTGTTGAGCCGGGCCGCGACCTCCACCTCCCGGATCTTGGCCTGGACGTCAGCGATGGTCGTGCCGCCATGCACCTTTAGTAGCTTCATGTTGTCGGCCTGGAGGTGGCCCCTCTGCAGGCCGCACAGGTACTTGACGAGCCTCGTCTTGCCGCAGCCCGTCTCGCCCATGACAACGACGGGGATGCCGCAGCGGAGGCGCATGTGGATGGCGAGCATCTTCAGGACGTTGTCCATCGTCAGCTCATAGGTGGCGTCGGGGTCTGAGGGCTGCACGATCCCCAGCACCGTGCAGAGCGTCTTGACTTTGGCGTCCCGCGGCAGCATGTCAAAGTTCACGTTGAAGTCGACGCCCTGCGCATTGAGGCTCCAATGGAGTTCGACGCCGATGGCATCCGGCTTAAGGATGTCCCACGTCCGAGGGTCGACTGCGTCGATGCCCCTCTGCTGGTTCGGCTGCAGGTGGAACCCGAGGAACGTCAGAGAGTGGCCGTCCGCGTTGAAGAAGACGTAGGGGTGTGGCCGGCTCTCCCACGCCTTGCGGATCTGGAAGGGCACAAGGTCTCCCTCGCCCGCATGCTGCTGGAGCGCCCGGGGGCTCTCGTCAGAGACATCGAGGGAGGGCGTCGCGAAGTCCCGCGCCATGAGGACCACGAACTCGACGACGAAGTGCCGGAACCCGGGCAGCACGTCGCCGACGTGCTGCCGGTCACAGAATGCCGACCGCTCGCAGTCGAGCAGCTGCACATTGAGGAACCTCAGGAAGTTGCGAAGCTCTGCCCAGGAGGGGTCAGCGACCCCGCAGTACGCCAGCACCGTGCGCAGCCACAGCGCCGGAGTTCCCTTCGCCGGGCCCGGCTTGTAGCTGAAGCTGTCGAGGTTCCGCTGCAGGCGAAGTCTTTCCAGGTACTGGAAGGGTCGCTGGTACTGCTCACTGACAAAGAGGAGGTGGTCCATGAGCTGGCCCCGGGCTTTTTCCTGGGCCTGTCCCTGGGTCTGGGTCGACGCCTGCCGGTCGAGACACTCCCTGGGCGAGTGGCACCGCACTCCCGGGAACAGGTCCAGCAGACGCACACCGCGAGGAGCCTGACAAACGCAGACAGGCCCACTAATCATGGTGATAACGATGCTGATGATTCATTCAATTAAAAGTAAACTATTCTTTCGTAGCTGTTTTCTTTTTTTGGATATTACATGGCTTCTCGCCGAAGTGGGCTTACCATCATCACATGGAGATTTAGAGAAGATCAACATAATTTAAAACACGTGACTTGAAGATGCTGATTCCGCTTTTGCTGCTCATTTTGTTCTATCGTGTCATTTATTGATTTGTCGGTACTGTTGCTCGTGTGACTGATGCCGCTGCTACTGCTGATAGTGCCTCTGCTGAAAATGTTGTATTATAGTATTTTTAAAAAGTGTATTCATCGGTGCTGCTGCTTCGTGTGACTGATGCTGCTGCTACTACTGCTGATAGTGCCTCTGCTGATGCTGCAGATTATTTTATATAATAGTTTTTTATGTATTTATCTTTTTATGTATTTATCGGTGCGGCTGCTGATCCCACTGCAAGTGCCCGACAGTGGCTCTGCTGACGACGCTGATGACCGTGACGGTGACACGTGGCTTTCTCACCCTGCCTGAGTCCGAGCTGGCGCCACCCACCTCCTCCTCCCCCTCTCCCCCTTCCTCCTGCGTGATCTCGACGACGTAAAGGTGAGAGGCGCTGCAGCGCCACACGGCACCGCCAGCACCACTCAGAGACCGCAGCACCAGCAGGCGGAAGAGAAAGGCGCTGAGACCCGAGCACACCTGTTTGGCATCAGGGGGTGGGGGGGGGGGGGCAGGCAAAGGAGGAACCCCAGATTCACATTATTATATTATCAGCTTAACACGTCCGTAGTAGTCTTTCGCAACCACACGATCGACAGGAGGCACAAGAACAACGAGCTCACGTAACGCGCATGCATAATGTACATTGATTACCAAATAAATGACCCAACCGGCAATGGATATCCATAGTCATTAATATTCATTCATTAATCATACCCCCCCCCCCCCCACCATTGCTCAAGAAGTTCTCACGAGTGACGTCATCACATCTACACCCCTATTTAAGGAACGAAACAGGAGGATTTCTCCACAAATCTGTCCGCCTGATGAAGCTGGTTGTAATTACTGGTGAAACGTCGCACTCAAATTGTAAATGTTGTGGATTTGCTGTCCAGCACACAACTGGTGAGGCTGTACTAGTAACAAATTGGCACGTTCTGTTTATGTGACAAACCTTACTAATTTTCTGTGTCGGGTGGTGGCGGGTTTATTGACATTAACATTTTTACGCGATGTAACCCAAAACACCCGTATGATGGATAATATTGGTTATACCAATATTATTCACACTAACGTTTTTTAGTTTGGTGTTAGATCACGAGAATATCTACAACGTGTAATGACTGAGGCAACAGACCGCTTACCTGACATCAGTGTACGTGCGGACAGACAGTCAAGAAGTTAAGCAAGGCCTCCGATTTGCGCTGGGAGGCCTCAAAGATGATTGGTCAGGATAGGAGATTCAAAGGGATTGGAGGGTTGACTGGAAGGGGAGACAATTGACAACCTTTGGAGGAGGAGGAGGAGAGAAGAGGGGGGAGGAGGGGGGGTGGAGGAAGAGGTAGGAAGAGGAAAGATGAAGGAGGAGGAGGGGGGGAGAGGAGGAGGATGGAGGAGGAGGGAGGGGGAAAGAGGAGGGGAGAGGAGGAGGAGGGGGGGAGGAGGCATGAGGAGGAGGGGTCAGGATTGGCTGATGGAAATGGGGTGGGCGAAGCTTCCAGAATGGGGGCTCTAGGGATATAAAAGGGGCCAAGCACGAGGAGAGGGGACGCTAGGAGAGTTTTGTGCCTCAAGAGACAAAGTCCGTGGCATAGCCTTGTGCCTGAATAAAGGCTCCGAGTAAACGAAGAAACCACGTGTGTCAGACTTCATTACGTGCGTGTCATCAAAACCGCCAGCCACCGCCACGGTACGGCCAATTCGTTAAGGGGTTTGTCGCGTCACGACTTGGGCATTAACCGGGTTGTTATAAATGCTGTGGGTCAGTCCACACACTTTGCTGTGAAGGCATTCCCCTGGACCAAGGCACGGGTACAGGGATGGGAGTTTCATCTCCATCCGTGTGGTGATCCACCAACCCTCACTGCTGCTGCTGCTGCCTCCAGTGCTGGATCACTACAGGCAGCCACGTGCAGCAGCGTGGCCACCATCACAACGACCACCGCTACCACCACTACCACCACTAACTACTACCACGTCCACCATCACCACATCACTACCACATCACCACCACCACTACATCACCACCACTGCCATCGCCAACACCACCACCGTCGCCACCACTATCACCACTACTACCACCATCGCTCGGTCACCGCGCCTGTGTGACGCCAGTCGGTAAACGTCGCCGACACGGCGTCTCCACTCGTGCACCCGCGCCGGGCGCGTGCGTGATGTTTGACCCGGACCGCCTTACTGAGCCCGCACGGCTCACATGTGGCGCGGCTCCTCGGGGCCCCCGGGGGTGCGGGGGGGGGGGGGAAGCCCTCAGCTGGGGCGAAACACGTGACCGGCGAGCGTAGCGGCGGCTGCTCACGGCGGCGGTGACGTCGACGTGGACGAGGTGGGGCCTCTCCTGCCCCGGGGGCTCCTGCAGCTTCAGCAGGGAGGCCACCACGGCCGCCTCATTAACCGCCCGGCCCGTGAGCCGCACGGTGTGCAGCCGGCTCTGGCCGCCAAAGGTCGACCGCAGCGCGTCGTGCATGCGCTGCACGTGCAGCGACTTGCCTGCAAGCGCACACGGCGTCGGCGTCATCATCAGCAGCAGCAGTAGAAGATGCATCAGCAGCAGATGCATTGGCATCATCAGCAACCATGCCACTCACCCACTGACAAGGGTTGCCACCTATCCAGATTTGGTCTGTGGATAAGTTGGCTACCCTGCCGTGAACCACCCCCTACCAACTGGCCCTACGCCAAAACGCACCCACTCCAGGCCGCGTCGACCAGACGACCCGGGCCCTGAGCCGCTTGGCGAAGGCGTCCGCCGCCACCGCCCGGCCCCCGCGCTCCGCCTCCACCCGCAGGCGGCGCCGCAGGAAACGGCGAAGCTGTTCGGCGGGCACCCGCGGCGCGGCGCTCGCCCGGAACTCGCCGAGGCACGACGCGGCGTAGCGGTGCTCTTCCCGCGCGCGGCAGAACACCACAAGCTGGTAGCGGCCGGCCGGCCGGCGCTCCGCCAGCACCAGCTCCTCCATGCGCACGCTCGCCTCGTAGCTCAGCCGGTCGGCGCACAGCAGCGAGTGGATCTTCATGTCGCCACCGTCGCCGGCGTCGCCGCTCAGCGCCCTCCTCACAAACAGCTCCACCTCCTCGACGGTGGTGTCGGGCGAGCACACCAGCACCTCGTCAGGCGCCGGCAGTGGCCCGTCCTTGTCGCTCAGGTAGAGGGACAGCGCCGATGTGAACTCCTCCTCCTCATCCTCGCACACCACCAGGTTGGGCTGGCCCCGTGCCAGCCCATTGGGGAGCCGCCGGCGGACGACCCGGCGGCCGGGGCTTGCCCGCGCCGCGGCGGACAGGCGCGCCAGCACGCGGGCCACGACCTCTACGCCGGGGTCGCCGTTGGGGGGCATGGCGCTGCCCGTGGCCATGAAGTGCCGCCACAGGCGCAGCAGCTGCCGGTCAAGCCGCGGGGATTCGGTGACATTGGCTCCCGGATTGTTCGGCCCTGGGACGTCGTCGCCGTCATCGCCGTCATCGTATCGCTCATTGTCTGCTGTCATTGCCGCCGGCGCCGTTGCTTCGTCCGACACGGCCTGCCGAACGTCCCGGGCGGTGCAGTCCTCCTTGACGAGCGACAGCATGGCGAGGGCGCTGGTGGCGCCGGGGCCCGCGCTGCCCCGTGCCAGCTCGCCCACCTCGGAGCACAGGCGTGCCACCTGCTGCGCTGTGTAGAGGTCGAGCTGCGGGTAGCGGCGTCGCAGCGCCTCCACGTGTGCCCGCCACTCGTCCAGGCAGCGCTCCGTTCCGGCGCACAGCAGCGCCAGTTGCCGGGGGGCTCCTCCGTCCACCGCCAGTGCTCCAGCTCCCGGCAGCCCGAATTCGACGGCGACGCGAGACGTCGCCACACCGGAACTGGCGACGCGTACTGTCCAGCGGCGGAAGAGCGGGTTGGCACTGGCGCTCAGGGCCAGGTGAGCATCGGCGAGCCTCAGGACACTCTCCAGCACCTTGCGGGTCGGGTGTAGGAAGAGGGAGCTCTCATGCGAGGATTCCAGGTTCGGTCTCTTGAAGAAAGTTCTGAACGTTAGGGAGGCGCGAAGCTCTGGGCCCAACTGTCAGTCAGGGCCCTCCAGCCAGTCTACGCCTTGTGAGTCACAGCACCCACGCACCCACCCATCCACACACCTAGCCAGCCACTCATGCAACCAGCCAGCCAACTACTCACACACCGACAGTCTCACAAACCCATCCATCTATCCAGCCACCGACATAGCTATCCCCCACGCACCGACATACCCACACTCCCACCCATCCATCCAGCCACCCACAATCCCAGTCACCCACACATGCACCCACCCACCCAGCCAGCCACCCATCCACCCACTCACGCACCTAGGAGAGGCCGGTTCAAATAATCATCACTAGTGTTAGCCGCGAGCGGGAATCAAACCCTCCTGTCGCAAGGTTCGTAATGCAGTGCCTTAACTGCTAAACAACCCACAAACCCATGCACCTTCCCATGCACCCACCCACCTCGGTGAAGGTCTCCACCTCCTCGTTCCATTCCCGCGTGCCACACGTGAGCATCAGTTTGCTGTGCAGCTCCCGGAGCTCGTGGATCCGGAACGTGCGCAGGGCGCCGTCACCTTCGCCGCCACCGCCAGCCGCCGACGGGTCGGGCAGTGTCAGCAGCAGCACCGTCTCCAGCGAGGGCTGCAGGTCGGCGACCGAGCACGCGGGAGTCACCGAACGTCATCGGTCACCGCCACGGCGTCCGCATTTAGTCGTGCGATCGCATGCACTGGTAAGGCCCACAGAGGCTACGGTGACGTCGCTCGGAACGAGCGGTCCAGTCGCCGGGCGGCACCAAATTTGCCGATTGTTAATAATTACGCCGGCTGGGAGCGCGCATACCGCGAAAACAGGGCAGGACTCTCCTGCAGAGAGAGCCTTGAGACTCTCGGTAAGGCTCTCCTGGGTGAACAAGCGTAGAAATGAGCTAATCCATTGAGCTATCACAGACCGGTCAGACAAACAGTTGCTCGACCCGAGCTACAAGTGTTCCGATACGTGCATTGTCTTTGTTACTGTTCGCCTTGATGCTGCGCGTCTCTCTGCGCGTCTCTCTGCGCGTCTCTCTGCGCGTTTCTCTGTGCATATCTCTGCACGTATCTCTGCTTGTCTCGCATTGGGCCAATGCTCTAATACCTCGTAAAAGTTCTAGATTTGAAGCCATACAGAAACAGCCACTTGAAACTCCAATCAAAACTATCACGTTGCCATACATAGCAGGCGTGACCAAAAAGATCTCCAAAATTCTAAACAAACATAAGATCCAAGTCCGATTCAGTACATTACATAAAATCCGTGATCTAATTCCATCTGTGAAGGATGTCATCCCTGACTTGCAATACCCTGGAGTCTATAAACTGAGTTGCTGCTGTGGTGATTGTTACATTGGGGAAACAAAACGTCATGTCTCTGATCGTGTCCGCGAGCACAAGTCAGATTTGAAACACGGCAAAATTGAGTCTTCCGCCGTTGCCGATCATTGTTACAACGCGGTGGGCTCTCATGATATTGTTTTTTTCCGAGACCAAGGTGCTCTGCAAACCCTCTGGCTACCATCAAAGGTTTGTACACGAAGCCATTCAGATATACAAACACAGACATAATTTCAACCGTGATGATGGGTACAAACTTAGTAATCATTGGAAAGATGTTATTAACCATGCAAAAAAGATTTAACTACACATTTTTGGAGCATCTTATCTGACAGGCACTATTTTACTTTACCGAGTGTTAACATCCCCAGCGTTTAACAGTACTCTCCTTTTTCGTATTTGATTGTCAGCCAACACTGGTAAAAACTACATGGGCATTTTTGTTCTCTTCTATCATGTGCACCAATAGGTGCTTGTGCACAGGCATGTCCACGTACACGTGCACCTCGTGCTCTCTTTTAGCCCCCCCCCCCACTTCCAATACGTTATCATGCGCACCAACAGGGACTTGCGCACAAACACGTCCACGTCTACGTGCACCTCGTGCTCTCTTTTAGCCCCGCCCCCCCCCCCTCCCGATACGTTCCATTCATTGGCTACCACATTCTGATAAGCTCCCCCCCTCTCCTCCCCCTTAACTTGTATTTAAGAACTTGCATCTTGGAATCCCTGCCTCACTTGATACAGCAAATCTGGCTGTGACGGTCCCACCTGATGACGGAGACTTGTGTTGCCTCCGAAACGTCGTGATTTATTTTTATTTTATTAATTTAAATTTCATTTTTTTACCTACGTGACTTTACCGAAAAAACTAAGAGTATGACACCTCGTAAAAGGTTTCTAGTTGGTATTTGAACATCTTAACTCCTGTTTTATTGCCAGAAAAAGTTAAACCTATTCTTATTTCTTCATACTTTGATACTGCCAAAAAAGGTCCCATGATATAGCTGCTCACCTCGAGCTATAAATGCTCTGATAGTGCATTGTCCTTTTGGGGGTCTCTGGTCTGACACTGGTGAGACTAGACCCTAAAAAAGGCTGTCTCTGGTGTAGACCAATCCATTCCAAAGACAATGCCCATATATTATCAGAGTATTTTTTGTTTGCACGTTTCACCACAAGCACTGTGTGTGGTTAATGCAGTGCTTGATTCCTTCCAAGAGGTATCACACAACTCCTGTTTTAGTTTTGCCAGAAAGAGTAAAGCCTATTCTTATTTAGTCACACTTTGATACTGGCAAAAATGTTTCATGATATAGCTGCTCACCCTGAGCTATACATGATCTGATGCGTGCATTGTCATTGTACTGGTCGCCTTTTGGCGTTCTCTGGTCTAACACACGTTGAGACGAGGCCCTAAAGAAGGCTGCTCTCTCTGGTGTAGGCCAATCAGTCACAAAGACAATGCCATATATTATCAGAGTATGTTTGCACGTTTTGCCACAAGTACTGTGTTTGGTTAATGCAGTACTTGACGCCTTGGAAAAGGTATCTATTTGGAGATTGAACATCTGAACACGCCACCTGTTTTATAGCCAGAAAGGGTACAAAACTGTTCTTATTATTCATCATTTAGAGAACGTCTCAGTTGCAAGGGCGTCCGAGTCTTACGAGTCGCGCACAGAAAACAAAGATCCCCCGAATAGCTCTAACAGACTTTTGTGGCAAGTGCCGTGAGCGAGCAGGCCGGCACTGCGGCACACGAGGGGGTGAGTGGCCATCACCACGTCACCCCTGCCGCCTTCGTCTCCCCCCGACCACTGCTGTCGTTGTTGTTCGCTGGGTCTATACGTCTCTGTGTGAATCTGTGGGTCTCTGTGTGAATATACGGGTCTCTATGCGAGTCTACGGGTCTGTGTGCGAGTCGTCGCTGATCCAACTGGGACCATGACCTCGAGCCGCTCACCTTGTCGCCACTGCCCGCGATGGCCCCCACGTGGTAGACTCCGCTGTGGTTGATGGCGGTGGCCGTGGACAGAGTGGACATTTCCACCGAGCCGTGCCACACCGCCTGTAACCACGGCAGGTGCTGCACAGAGCACCTCTGCACGTGACAGGACGGGGCGGAGGAAATCGACGTCGTTATCGTTGGCCACGGTCGATCGACTGCTGGATGAGGGACTCGCCAAGCTGTCGCAGCCTCTCACGCGATCCCACGGGTTTTATTTTTAAGTATTTTGATTATATACATCAGAGAGAGAGAGGGAGGACGACTCAGAGAGAGAGAGAGGACGACTCAGAGCGAGAGAGGACGACTCAGAGAGAGAGAAAGGATGACTCAGAGAGAGAGGACGACTCAGAGAGAGAGGGGACGACTCATGAGGCGCCAGGAGGAGGAACCACAGACAAGCAGGGAAGGCAGCAGCAGCCACATGGTGGTAAGGAGCTGGTGATACCCACCATCGCCCAAGCTCTTTGCGGTCCTCTAAACATTACGGTGTTATCAGCCAATTAACAAGCTTAACGTCGTGTGAGGGGAAACCGAAGCACCTGGAGAAAACCAGCGGGTGTGAAGGGAGCAACACTCGATCCCCTGGTGGGAGGGGAGCAACTCTGGTGCCACAGCCACGGAGCCACTGCCAGCGCTGCCACCCCCTCGCAAACCACCCACACGAACGCACGCACCCCCCTTTGAACACACACATGCACCACGTAGGGCTTCATGGGGGGGGGGGGTGACCTGGCCCCTGGGTTTTTACCCGAGAGCCCCCCTCGTGGGGGTGTTCCACGGTTTCCCAGGGCCAGGAAATTGGCAGACCCCCCCCCCCCCCCAGGCCGAATTGCATTGCAGCACCTAGGATTAACTTAAAATTGTATGTCCACGGCGAGCTCACCGAGCAACCGTGGTGAGAACACCCCCAACACGGGGGAAGGGGGCCATGGGGGGAGCAAAGCTCCCAGCAATCAGCAGCGGGGGAGAGCACGAGGAGGAGGGAGGACGCATAGACTATAGATCAAGGCGTGACGGAAAGCAACGCGCAAAAGCAGGGTGGAGGGAAATCTCCTGAGGGGGCTAAAAGCTAAAGCAACAAAGCCACAGCAGACGGAGCAGGTGGGGGGGGGGAGTTCATGCACGAGTCCGTAGACGTAGGGTGGGGAGCAGCAGATTCGCGCATTAGTGGCTCTCCATGGGGGGCACGAGTAAGCTGCGCAGTACAGTGCCACCCTGGGCCTTTGAAGTGAGGGGGTTAGGCCACGGGTAAGTGCCTGATTGGATCTACCTAGGGATTTAATAGAAATAGGTGAGACGTTGCTCGCTAGATTGTTTTACTCCGGGCCACGCAGGGCTTTTCTACAGGTACCGCATTAATAAACTTTAGCATAGAACAACGTCGCCACGTGGTTTCTATGTGTGTGTAGATCGGCGCGTATTCAATCATAAACGATCGTGGACGTTCGCGTGCATGTGTGAACAGCGGATTAACGCGAGAGTATTGTCATCAATAGTTCGCCGTTGCACTGGGGATTAGCGCGTGCATACAGCCATCGACTGTTTGCACGGGGGATTAGCACGACATACGGCCATCGACTGTGTTTGTGGAAAGCGCGCGTGTATTCAGTGATAAAGCTGCCCTGCGTTTGTGTCCGCGTGCTCGCGCCCGCGGTGCGTGTGCGTGTTGGCACAACAGATTAAGGCCGAATATTATCATCAACGTGATCGCCGATGGGCCCGATGCCCGCGCACGTATTTACGCAGTCTGTTTACGCTGCGACACTCGCAGTAAGGGTTTCGGCATGTGGGTTATTCGGGGGTGTGCGAGGCTGCGCTGCGCAGTAACTCATTACCTGCCCCAGCCGTGCTATTTTTAGCGCGTGCACATGGTGGGCAACAGGTACGGGTGGCTGCGCGTACACGTGGTGGGCAGTAGGTCCGGTTGTGCGCGTGCACGCAACCCCGCAGCGCGAGTGGTGGTTTACGCGGGGGGTGGGAGGCAGAATAACGCGAGGCGGTGGAGAGCCAGCCACGAGCCATGTCCCACAGAGAGGACGCTGGTGCGGGGAGGCCGATCACCCGATCGGCGGCAGCCCGCCGCGAAGGGGAGGAGGCCCAAGGGGGAGAGGAGGAGGTGGGCATCAAGCCCCCACATAACACTTGATCGCCGCACAGACGGGGACAGGTTGACGTCCACTTTGCTATACCGTCTTCTCCTGGCGCAGCTAGGGTACGGGCTCCTCCCATGTGTGATCCGCCAACCCTCGCTACCACTGCTGCTGCCTCTACAGCGCCGGATCACAACAGGCAGCCACGTGCAGCAGCGTGGCTACCACCAGGGCCTTCCTTCGTGGGGGGTGGGGTGACACCACGGGACCCCGGGCAGTCGCCCTAGATTCCCCGTTACCCTCGGGGGATGGGCTCTGGCTACCACCGCCACCGCTGCCCCCTGCCGGCTACCGGCGTGACGAGACGGAGTGATGATCCTTTCCGGATCTCACACCGCCGAGCAGCGCGACCCTCCACGGGGGGGGGGGCGGGGGCCGCCGTACCAGCTTGAGGGCAAGGTTGGCGTCGCTATCCAGGGAGCGCCACACGCTGCGGGCGGTGTTGATGAGCTCTGGGAAACCGGCGCCGGCTGCGAGGTCGTAGAGCAGCGGCGAGTAGCCCTGCACCGCATCGTGGAAGAACGCCACGCGGTCCACATCGAGGTCGCTCTCGCCGGCCGTGATAGACGCCAGGTCCACGAACACCTTCAGCTCGGTCAGGTCTGCACAAAGACAAAGGTTCCCCCCCCATAGTAGCCTTAACAGGCTGTTGGGGCAATTGATGCTAGCGGTGCCTACGAAGGCCGGCACGGTGAGACGAGGGGGGTGGGTGGCGAGCGCCACGTCCCGGTCGCCTTTGTCTCCCCGAGCGGCGACGTTTACACACCCCTGCCGGATTACTCACTCGAGGCCGAGACGACCTCGGGGAGGCCTAGGGCCTGGCTCAGAGGGTCATCACTCGCGTTGGCTGATGGATGATATTGGTCGCGAACGCCCACTGCGTGTTAAAGCAAAATCAAATCAGGTGAGATCCATCGCCAATTTACACCACCGAACAATGGGCCTACAAATCTCTTCACAAGACCAGCCAACGCCAATAGCGCAGAGGGAGCGAGGAAGGGTCTGGCTGCAACGACGAAAGGCTGCCGGCAGATGATAATGATGATGGCATCATCATCATTATCATCTGCCGTGGTTGACGGGAGCCTCGGGAAGGAATGAGGTCAAAAACGTGGGCGAGAACCACCGACGCCGCCACAGCCTACGAGTGCAAGGCGAGTAAATATAAATGTTGTGTCGTTAAACCCGCCAGCACCCGACACAGCCGACTAGTGAGGTTTCATCACGTTAATGGGACGTGCCTATTCATTACGAGTACAGCCACACACCGGTTCTGTGTTGGAGAGCAAATCCACAACATTTACAATCTGAGTACGACGTTTGCTGCCCGTTGATGCTAGTTGTAATTACTTGCAAAATATTGTATCTAAGATTTCTAAATGTTGTGGATTTGCTCTCCAACACACCGGTGTGCTGTACTAGTAACGAATTGGCCACGTTCTGTTTACGTGACAAACCTTACTGATTGGCTGCATCGGGCGGTGGCTGGTTTAACGACACATTTATATTTACGCGATATAACCCAAAAACACTGTATTATGGATATTGGTTGCGAAAGCCTACTGCGTGTTAAATTGAGAAAATGAATGTCAATACCGGTCCTTGCCCGGAGACATCTTGCAGTTCAACCAACTACCTACTGCTCACTACCGAATGGACATCTGTGAATAAGAGCTTCAGAGCTCATCGGATTCATCCAGTATACAGATTCTGATTCATTGGTTCAAGCGGAAGCCTCTGAAACCGGCCCTTGACTAAGAAAAAAAAACAACACCTGGCAGTTCGCCAGCGTTGGTGCAGCAGTGACTGTACTGTACTTCTGTGCTCCCACTGACTACGTGAGGTTTGGGGCCTTGTGGATGAACCCACTTTTCAAGGTGCCCTTGATCCAGACCAGCAGCTGCTCGGACTGTGACAGCTGCTCCAGGCACTCCAGCCTGGCAGGCGTGACCTCCATCAGGGTGTCCATGACCGAGACCAGCTTGGAGTTGATGTGCTTGATCTCCCTGCTGTCAAATGCCTCGTCCTGACGACAAGAGACGAAGCAGGTACCGTTTAGATGCCGATTGTAAACGATTGTAAAAAAAAAGGAAAAAACTCGCATCCCAGTGACCGAGTGATAAGACCACCGCTGCCACAGGAGGACCCCCACGAGGGAGAGAGAGAGGGGGAGCGGACAGGCGAGAGATGGAGCCCCCACTCTAGCAGGTATTCAGGCCTACTCTTTCCGGCTGGCCAGAACACTTGGAAGAGATGGGAGTTACCCACACTTTTTCCGACCGGGGCGCGGGGAGGACTGACTCGAGAGCCGGGAGATAAACTAAACTTTTTAATTTACGAGGAAAGGCCCCAATAAGCTGTATAACTCTTTATTCAGAAGCGACTGATCAAAATGGTGGCAACGAAGTGGCTTATCATCATCATCATCACGTGGAAATGTATAGCGGCAGGCCAAATATTATAAACGTGTGACGTTGATTCTAAATGTGGAGGGAAACACGGGAGGACCCGGAGAAAATGTTCACGGAACTACGGGGAGAGAGACACCGCAAACTCCAAATATACAGCAGGCGTCAGGGTAGGGATTGAACCCACGGCCTCCTGCATACCAGGCGATGTAGTTAACATCTCCTAGCTGCTGACACTGTGGCTTCCTGCCCAAGATGAGGGTTGAGGCATTGGTGCTCATCTCCCGGTGGTGGAAGTTCCACTTGTTTTAATTGACCTCCCCCCCCCACCCCGGAGAGATGATGGGGTGCGTCAACCCTCGGCCAGGATTTGACCTCGTGACCTCCCGACTGAGGCTTGGGCCTTCATTGTATCCGGAGCTGCCAAGGGCTGGGCTCACCCCCCCCCCCCCCTTCATAACAAAGACATAGATCCCCCATATAGCCTTAACAAACTGTTGGAGGCAAGTGCAGTGACCGAGAGTACATCGCCACGGTGGCTAGGAGATCCCCACCCTGATGCGTGCTGCTGTATATTTGGAGTTCACGGTGTCTCTTTATCATCATCGCAGTGGCGAGATGTTACCTGCCTTCCTGGTATACGTGGGGTCGTGGTTTCGATCCCGACCCTGCCGCTGCAGCTCGATGTATATTTGGAGTCTGCGTGTCTCTCCGTGATAACGTTATTTTTTCCCCCCCCACATTGAGAATAAACATCACGCATTTAGAATATCTGGCTGCTGCTATACATTTGAACGTGATAAGCCACTTACCTGACATAAAATTTGTGATAGTCAGGTCGCTTCTGAAAGAACTATACAGCTCAGTGGGCCTTACCTGATAAAAAAAGCAACAGTAATAGTACTAGAGCAGCACCTATGAAGGTCTGCACGGCGAATGAGTGGGTGGGTGCCCAGCACCACGCCCACCCAGACGCCTTTGTCTCCCCAAGTGGCGATGTTTGCACACTGCACTCGGTACTCTTGTGAGCCCGTGTCCACATAGGGCAATGCCCCAGGACCAGTTCAAATATCCCCCACCGGTGTTTACCGTGAGCTCAAGCAGGGCGCCAAAGTCTCCGGTCAGTCCCAGCACGTCCCTCACCGCCAGCACGGCCCTCACCACGCCCACCTTTGGCCACATCTCCTGGTACCGCGTGATCTGCCAGGCCCTTTGGGCGATCCACTCAGCATCCGGTGGGCCTCCCAGGCCGTCGGCCAATGCCGCCAGCTCGGGCTCCACCTCGGCGGGGCGGCCCTCGAGCGCGGCGAAGAGGCGGCGGATGTCGTGGAGGCGAGCAGCGCCATTGCGCAGCTCGACGAGCAGCGACCTGGCGGCGCGCAGCGACGGCCGCCACACCTCGAGCCACACGCAGTCAAGAGACGTGAGCGTCGGCGCACTGGCCACCGCCACCGTCGCCACTGCCTCATACGCCGGCCCCCGGGTGCCGTACTGGCGGACGGCCTCCGCCGCTACCAGGTGGAGAGCCCCGCGGTGGGCAGTCAGCGCCGCCTCCTTCCACAGCTGGCAGAAGGCCGCGCTGCGCGAGAGGAGTGAGCAGCCGCGGGCAAACTGGCACAGCTCAGAGCTCATGCGGAAGTGGGTGACCACGATGGCACCGCCGGAGTCGCTGCGCCTCCACCAGGCCGGGCCACGCTTGGCAAGCACGAGGTCGCGGAGGGGGCACGGCACGAGGCTGCGCCTGCACCGACTCTCCAGCACCGACACGTCCACTAGGGTGTGGGGCGGAGGCGGGGAGGGGGTAGACAACGACGCTCCTCTTTTCCACGACGTGACGGTAAGTCTCTGGAAACCTCCCACCGTCCTCGTCCAGACTCTTTCCTGCCTCCAGGGGTCTCTGCTCAGCAGCAGGGATTTTTTTTAGGAAGCTCACCGCCTCCTTCACCTGAACCTCCGATGCGCATGACCCAAGACTGCATTCGAGACCCCAGTTTAATCACAACCGGTCTGTGTGAGTCTGTGGTTCTCTGTGTGAGTTAGTTGGTCTCCGTGTGAGTTAGTGGGTCTCCATGTGAGTCAGTGGGTCTCTGTGTGAGGGCCGTAGGCTCTATACGAGCCTATGGCCCTCACTATGCGAGTCTATGGCTCTCTCTATGCAACTCTACGGCTCTTTCTATGCGAGTCTACGGGTCTCTATGCGACCAATCAGCACTTTTGTTGTAACTCTGCGGCTCTCTCTATGTAACTCTATGGCTCTCTATGTAACTCTATGGCTCTCTCTATGTGAGCCTACGGATTTCTCTATGTAACTGCAGTGACATCGCGGATGTCACTCTAATGCCGGCCCTAGAGAGGCACGGCGTGCGATGTAGAGACATCGCGGGCACCACGTGGATGTGGGGGCAGTAGTGGCCCTAGTGGGGCTCGGTGAGCGCTGACTGGCAGCACTGAGTGGCACCGCGCTCTGCGTGCAGTGCCGGCCCCTACAGAATAGGGTGTGAGATTGCCAGTCACAGGAATGGGGTTTTTATAGGCCGTGGCACTCTGGTTGACCCCAGAGGACACGTGACGAGATAAGTCTACATAGGGGCCCCAGGTGGGGGCTAGGGGTGGTTACATGTCAGGGTCGAGATCCTGCTCGAGGATTCTAGAAGGTGGTCGTGGCTAAGGGCGGGGCCAGCTATGCTGCAGAGGATATAAGCTGGGTCCCTGAGAGGGAACAGCTGCTGGTGTTCACCCTCAAGAAATCTACGTTCTACGTCCTACATCCTACAGTCTCCAACACGTGGACCTGGACCTAAGCTGTGGTCCGATCCATTGTAGCTAGTTACTGTGTAATTAGTGCAGTTAGCCTGGTGGTCCACCACCCTAGGTTGTTATTGTGTAAAGGGGCAGTTACCCCTTGTGTTGGTATTAATACATGTGTTGCCTCCAAAGAATACGTCTGCGACTCAGTTGAACTCACTACATAACTCTCTGGCTCTGTCTGAAGCCATTGACTCGGTGCACTCCGACGTTCCCCGGTGTTACCACGGCCGAGAGTCTCCGACCTCTGACCTGACGTGGCCACGATCTAACCCAGAGGGTTCCTCACCTTGGATGATGTCCTCAATTGTGTGGCACATGCGCACCAGAGCCTTGACATTCCGGACCTCCTCGTGCACCGCTGTCACCTCCTCCTGCCTCCGCGCCAGCACAAGCTCCATCTCTCGCCTGTCTGGACCTGCAGCGTCACCTTGTTTAGCCACGGGGTGGTGGTGGTGGTGGTGGTGGAGGGTTGTGGCGGTGGTGGTGGTGGTGGCGGTGGCGGTGGAGTTGGTGGTGGAGATGGAGGTGGCGGTGGAGGTGGTGGTGGTGGTGGGCACGCTGCTGCACATGGTTGCCTGTAGTGATCTAGAACTGTGAAGGCAGTAGCAGCGAGGGTTGGTGGAACACACACGGATGGAGTGAAACTCCCTTTCCTAACCCTATGGGTGGGTGCCGAAGAGAAGCCGTACCCTGGGTCTGCTAGGAGAAGGCGGCACATCAAATTGCGGACTAATCTCCATCTGGCACCACGGTAGTGAGATGTTAACTACCTTGCTTGGTATACAGGAGGCCCTGGGTTCAATCCCAACCCCGACGATGCCTTTATATTTCGCGGATTTTTCCTCCGGGTCCTCCGGTTTTTTCCCTCCACATTTAGAGACGTGCGTTGAGAGTGCTTGGCTGCTGAAAAATTCCCACGTGATGAACCACTCCGTTGAGCTATCATTCGTGACGGCTAGGTCCCGTCTGATACAGAGCTACGGAGCTCAATAAAATAAAATAAATGTAGTCTGCACACGGAGGATAGAGTGTTTCCCCTCACATGTGCGCGATTTCTGCGGGCACTCCAGTTTTCGCCCCACTTGTGATCACTCATCTTCAAATGCAGAGGACCGCAGAGCTTGGGCAATTGTCGGTAGTGCGGCTGCTGCTGCCTTGCTGCTCATCTTTGGTACCTCCTCCTGACACCTCTGAGACGTCATCTCTCCGAGTCATCTCTTTCTAAGTCGTCCCTCCTCTTTCCCTCTACAAGAGTACGACGTCACTATCGACGCCGAAGACGTTTCTGAACAAACTGCAGATCTGCGAGTGGCGAGCCAAGCCGGGGCCATCCAGGGATGCTCTCCACAGGCCGCAGCGCAACTCTACAGGCCCCACAAGGGCTTCCGTCCACACGCGGGCAGACAGCGACACCCTCGAGGAAAGTCAGGCTGACGCGCTGATCGCAGCGACCAATCGCCATTGCCCGGGCAGCACGCGCGGTGATTGGAACGCGTCGTCTGCAAACCGCCGGGGGCGGGGGGGGGAAATTCCCATGCGCATAACGCAGTCAAGGCGCTAATCCCCGGGGGTGCCATGATGTCTGTCCAGCGCCGGTGCACCGCGAGAGGCGCGGGGGTCGTCGTCTCACCGTGGCTCTGCATGGCGCTGTAGATGGCGCGGAAGCTGAGCGTGCTGTCCAGCACCAGCTGGAGGACGCCCAGAGAGATGGTGCCATCCAGGATCTTGCTGACCAGCTGCTGAAACGTCTTGAGGGCAGTCCGCATCAGCACCATCGCCTCTCTTGTCAGACTGTCCGTCAGACGGCGCTTGGTGCCTGCGGGGATTGTGTCATCATCATCATCGTCATCCTCGTCGTCGTAGTAATTGTCGTCATCGTCGTCGTTATCATCGTCATCATCATCATCGTCGTCGTTATCATCCTCATCATTGTCGTCATGATCGTCGTCATCATTGTCATTATCATCATCGTTGTCATCATTGTCATTGTCGTCATCATCGTCGTAAGATCTCCCCCAATTTTCACGACAAAAATCCCAACTCATGATGCTCGGTGTGGGGGAGGGTTACCCCGGGGGGGGGGGGGATCCTTGCATCCCACGCTGGACCCCCGGGCCCGCCAGCCCCCCACGCCCCCCCTTCCCCGCCCAGAGCCGTGCGGTGGACAACTCAACCGTGCATTTTGAGCAAGCGTGCCGAGAGCCTCCAGCCCAGCAGGTGCAGGACGACTTCCACGTGCTCCGTGCTCGCTTGGCCGTCCCTCTTCGGCCAGGCCTCCACCAGGATGCGCGACAGCACCTTGCTGCATTTCTGAAGCTCCTTCTCCGCCAGCTCCTCCTCCTTGTTCTAGGGGAGAAAGAAAAAAGCCGCACGGAGAGAGGCATTCCTTTATGTAGTAATCGAGGTTGCCGCTGCGTTATCCTACGCAGGCGTCTATCTATATGTCTATCTACGTATCTATCAGTCTACATGTCTCTTACATGTCTGCGTCGTAGTGTGTCTCTCTCTCTATACCTCTGGGTCTCTCTGCATCTCTCTATATTATCTCTCTGTGCATCTACACGTCTGTGGTGCTGCGTAGCTCATCAGCTGTCTGTGCCTACCTCCTCGTCTGCCCACTCATCTGGCATTGATGACCCGGAGGAAGTGGGGGCTGAGCCCCCCCCCCCCTCCTCCTCCTTCAAACGAGCCCTTCCCCCATCATCTCATTGACATCAACATCGTGGTCTCCTCCCCTCACTATTACGGATATGTAACGTTAATTTAACGTGTATTTAGGTGTTATTATGTTATCGTGTAATGTTTATTCTGTGTTTAGTGAACAAAAGGATATCTTGGTGAGGCTATGGTGAGTGTGACCTGGCCATGGTTCCCTAACCCCTACTTTACCAACCACAGATTTGCCTACCGCAGCCGTTTCCAGGAACTTAACCTCCCGAGGTTGGTGAGGGATTGCTCTATTCGGCTGCTGCTTCAAATTTTCACGCGATAAGCCCACTCTGTTGAACTATCAATTGTGGCCAATGTGGCTTCTGAACAAGAGCTATGAAGTAGCTCGGTGGGCCTTACTTGCTAAAATGAAATGAGTCAAAGCGTTTAGTTTCATTTGTCCGTGTGTGTATCTCTCTGTATCTCTATGTCTCTCTGTCTCCATCTCCCTATGTGTCTGTATCCGTGTATGTATGCATCTGTCTTGTTGTCTCTCTGCATCTTGTCTCACTATTGTCATCTCTGTGCATCTGTATCTCTGTCGTTATATGTGTGTCTCTTTGTATCTCTATGTGTCTCTCTACGTCTCTGTCTCCGTGTCTTCTCTACATCCTGTCTCACCATGTCATCTCTGCGCATCTGCATCTCTGTGGCTGTGTGTGTCTATCTCTCTGTATATGTCTGAATCTCTATGCGTCTCTCCACGTCTCTGTCTCCGTGTCTCTCTGCATCTTGTCTCACCATAATCATCTCTGTGCATCTGCATCTCTACCGTTGTGTGAGACAAAGGCGGCCGTGGGTGGCGCTGGGCACCCACCCCTATCATGTGCTACCATAGCGGCCTTCACAGGCATAGCTACTCGCGAACAGCACTTGCCCCCCCCCCCCAACAGTCTGCTCACACTGTACAGGGGAAGGGGGGGGTGGTGCAGGACCATTGTGTTTGTCTAATCTCTGTGCATCCCTCTGTCCAACTCTGTCCCCATGCACCTGGCAGATGGACCACACGGCATCCAGAGCGGCGCTCTCCAGACAGTCGTAGAGCACCGGGTGGAGTGTCGCGCCCTTCCGCCTTGCGCGGAGGAACACGTCGAGCTGCTGCTGCGGCTCCTCCTTGCACGTGCACACACAACAAAAGAGAAAGATCCCCCCGTGTAGATTGTAACAAACTGTAGGGGGCAAGTGCTGTTAGTGAGTAGTATCACCTATGAAGGCTGGAATGGCACACAAGGGGGTGGGTGGCCAGCATCACACCAGACCGCCTTTGTCTCCCCAGTGGCGGTTTACTTACACACCACACCAGGTACTTATTTGAGGCTGAGTCGACCTAGGGGAGGCCCCAAGACCTGTTCGGATAATAATCACTGGGTGTTGGCCGTGAGCGGGAATCAAACCTGGGCCACCGGGTTCATAGCACATCGTGCTAACTGCTACACTACCGCTCCCCACAACACACACGCACCCTGCACACGCACTTATGTCATTGCAGCAGCCCTACGACAAAATATACTCCGGTCAATTATTAGCGAGCCTCTGGGCCTCTGCCCGAGACTGGGGGCGCTGTGTAAGCCAGTGGGCCTCTGGGTTTGCCTCTGGGCCTCCTCCCGAGACTCTGGGCTTCTGCGTAAGCCAGTGGGCCTCTCCACGAGCCTGTGGGCCTCTGGGCTTGCCCGTAGGTCACTGGGCTTTCCTGAGGGTCTCTGCGCAAGCCAGTGGGGCCTAAGTGCTTGCCTGTAGGCCTTTATGTGAGCCTGAGGGCCTCTGGGCTTGCCTGCAAGCCTCTGCGCTTGAGCCTCCGGGTGAGCCTATGCGCACAGAGAGCTCCACAGGCTCTCCCCACTTACAGGCCTGTGCCGAGTTCGGCTCGTGTCACGCAAGGGGACATCAGCCACCTGTCCGTCGAGGTGCGGACGTGGAGGTCGCGTCAAGTCGCGGTGGGTTTACAGGACAGGACGCGAATGTCCTTCCTGCTCCTAGGGCGGTGCGCAGTGGACGGGCGGATTGGGGTTGAGCCCCTTTGCGCAGGGGGGTACCTGGGTGATGCGGCCCCTGGCATGGCTGAGGAGCTGCCGCACCCACAGCCGTTGGAGGTCTGCGTCACTGAACTGGATGCCGAGGAACGCGCTCCAGATCTGGACAGAGATGAAGGTATTGAGGCAAAGATGATCACCCCCCACCCCACCCCACCCCGGGAAGAACCTTTCACAGACTATAGGGACAAGTGTCTATTATGGACAAGTGTCTGATTGCAAGCAGAACCTATGAAGGGGGTGGGTTGGCCAGTAAACAATGCCCCAGAGACAGTGCCGGATTATCCTAGCAGCAAAAGTAGCTGCATGTGTAGTAGCTACGGGCCCCACACTTTAAAGGGCCCCGTGCTAAATGCTTTCAAGCTATCAATTCCGGTTAAGTGATTCTGCACTTGCTCTATTACTGTAATACTATACCGCCTTCAACTTTTACGAATGACCGGGTGTTTAAAGTTAGCAATTTGTCATTATCTGGCTGTATAGCAAATTAAACAATTACAACGGCTTTACTGTGCAAGTAAAAAATTTGTCTTTTCATATTTATGTGATTTATTTATTTAGGGCTCCTTTATAAACATATGCTACAGGCCCAGCACTAGCTTCATCCGGCACTGCCTGGCGATGTTTCCGCGCCATGGCAGGCAACTCATTTGAGGCCGAATCGACCTAGGGGAGAGCCCCCCAGGTCCGGTTTCAGATAATCGTCGCCAGTGTTGGTGGCGGCCATGAGCTTGACTTGTACTCGGGTCGCCGGGTTGGTAGGTGGTCCGGGGTGGCTTTGAGGTCAGAGGTGCTGAGCTGGCACGCCGGCCATCCTGGGTTCGAATCATTCCCATCATTTAAGCAGCTTTTTTTATTTTTTACTCTTGCGTTACAATCACAGACAATCAGTTATGATTCTGTAGCTCGGCTCGAAATTATTTGGGCCTTTCTCAATGCGGGTGGAGAAGGGGAACCATTAAATCCCACGGTGGTGTCAGACAATGCACTGGAACTGATGGTTTAACCCCACATTCTTGTACAGGGAAATTGAGTTTTCAGGTCCATACGGCGTACAACCGTTTCAATATTCAATCTAGATCTGAAGTTTTCGTGACTGCAGGGATCCATACTTTTTGGTTCTTTCGGTGAAGTGACGTAGGTATAAAATAAAATAAATTAAATCACGACGTTTCAATCGCAACACAAGCGACCGTCATCAGGTGGAACAGACACAGCAGGAGAACTGCTGACACAGGAGAAAAGAACTGCTGCAACCAGAGTTTATATCGGATTTTAGTGAACTCAACCCAATGGTAAGTGGGAGGAGCTAGAAAAGGAATTTGTACGTAAATGTAAGAGATTAGCATGTCAATGTGGGGTCCCCAGCCGCCGGAGGAACTAACTCTTCTGCCATGGCTGATCACTGCTATAACGCTGTGGGCTCTCATGATATTGTTTTTTCCGAGACTCTGGAAACCGTCAGGCTACTATCAAAATGTTTGTTCATGAAGCCATCCAGATATATAAACGGACATAACTTCAACCGGGAAGATGGATACAAACTGAGCAATCATTGGAAGGACGTTATTAACCAAGTAAAGTCGTACATGACTGTGATGTTTCCATCCTACCTGCCTGTTTCAGCTGTTATTTCTGACTCTCCGAGTACATCATCTGTGAGGCAGCCAAGGCACAGGATTCCCACCACCCCCGGTGGCTGGGGATCTTCTCACATTGACATGCTAATCTCTCACATTTACATTTATGTACAAATTCCTTTTATAGCTCCTCCCACTTTACCATTGGGTTGAGCCCACTAAAATCCGATATAAACTCTTGTTGCAGCAGCTTTTTCTCCTATGTCAGCAGTTCTGCTGTATCTGTTCCACCTGATGACGGTTGCTTGTGTTGCGACCGAAACGCCGTGATTAAATGTATTTTATTTTATACCTACGTGACTTTACCGAAAGAACCAAAAGTACGATAATTGGTTCTTTACCCTTCTATCTGGCAACAAAACTGACACCTTTTTTTACAAGGAGTCATGTTTGCATAGACCGCAATACCTGCAGTCATAATACAAACAAAAGAACATAACTCTGATACTGTGCACTGTCCTTGAAGTTGATTGGTCCACACCCGAGACAGCTTTCCTTAGAGCCTAGTCTCATATGGGTTGGACCAGATGACGCCAAAAGGCGCACAACTCAAAGACAATGCACCATCAGAGTATGAGAGCTCGGGGTAAGCATCTACACTATGGGAACCTCATTTGCCAGTAAAAATATGATAATTGGTTCTTTACCCTTCTATCTGGCAACAAAACTGACACCTTTTTTTACAAGGAGTCATGTTTGCATAGACCGCAATACCTGCAGTCATAATACAAACAAAAGAACATAACTCTGATACTGTGCACTGTCCTTGAAGTTGATTGGTCCACACCCGAGACAGCTTTCCTTAGAGCCTAGTCTCATATGGGTTGGACCAGATGACGCCAAAAGGCGCACAACTCAAAGACAATGCACCATCAGAGTATGAGAGCTCGGGGTAAGCATCTACACTATGGGAACCTCATTTGCCAGTAAAAATATGATAATTGGTTCTTTACCCTTCTATCTGGCAACAAAACTGACACCTTTTTTACAAGGAGTCATGTTTGCATAGACCGCAATACCTGCAGTCATAATACAAACAAAAGAACATAACTCTGATACTGTGCACTGTCCTTGAAGTTGATTGGTCCACACCCGAGACAGCTTTCCTTAGAGCCTAGTCTCATATGGGTTGGACCAGATGACGCCAAAAGGCGCACAACTCAAAGACAATGCACCATCAGAGTATGAGAGCTCGGGGTAAGCATCTACACTATGGGAACCTCATTTGCCAGTAAAAATATGATAATTGGTTCTTTACCCTTCTATCTGGCAACAAAACTGACACCTTTTTTTACAAGGAGTCATGTTTGCATAGACCGCAATACCTGCAGTCATAATACAAACAAAAGAACATAACTCTGATACTGTGCACTGTCCTTGAAGTTGATTGGTCCACACCCGAGACAGCTTTCCTTAGAGCCTAGTCTCATATGGGTTGGACCAGATGACGCCAAAAGGCGCACAACTCAAAGACAATGCACCATCAGAGTATGAGAGCTCGGGGTAAGCATCTACACTATGGGAACCTCATTTGCCAGTAAAAATATGATAATTGGTTCTTTACCCTTCTATCTGGCAACAAAACTGACACCTTTTTTTACAAGGAGTCATGTTTGCATAGACCGCAATACCTGCAGTCATAATACAAACAAAAGAACATAACTCTGATACTGTGCACTGTCCTTGAAGTTGATTGGTCCACACCCGAGACAGCTTTCCTTAGAGCCTAGTCTCATATGGGTTGGACCAGATGACGCCAAAAGGCGCACAACTCAAAGACAATGCACCATCAGAGTATGAGAGCTCGGGGTAAGCATCTACACTATGGGAACCTCATTTGCCAGTAAAAATATGATAATTGGTTCTTTACCCTTCTATCTGGCAACAAAACTGACACCTTTTTTTACAAGGAGTCATGTTTGCATAGACCGCAATACCTGCAGTCATAATACAAACAAAAGAACATAACTCTGATACTGTGCACTGTCCTTGAAGTTGATTGGTCCACACCCGAGACAGCTTTCTATAGAGCCTAGTCTTATATGGGTTGGACCAGATGACGCCAAAAGGCGCACAACTCAAAGACAATGCACCATCAGAGTATGAGAGCTCGGGGTAAGCATCTACACTATGGGAACCTCATTTGCCAGTAAAAATATGATAATTGGTTCTTTACCCTTCTATCTGGCAACAAAACTGACACCTTTTTTTACAAGGAGTCATGTTTGCATAGACCGCAATACCTGCAGTCATAATACAAACAAAAGAACATTACTCTGATACTGTGCACTGTCCTTGAAGTTGATTGGTCCACACCCGAGACAGCTTTCCTTAGAGCCTAGTCTCATATGGGTTGGACCAGATGACGCCAAAAGGCGCACAACTCAAAGACAATGCACCATCAGAGTATGAGAGCTCGGGGTAAGCATCTACACTATGGGAACCTCATTTGCCAGTAAAAATATGATAATTGGTTCTTTACCCTTCTATCTGGCAACAAAACTGACACCTTTTTTTACAAGGAGTCATGTTTGCATAGACCGCAATACCTGCAGTCATAATACAAACAAAAGAACATAACTCTGATACTGTGCACTGTCCTTGAAGTTGATTGTTCTTTTGTTTGTATTATGACTGCAGGTATTGCGGTCTATGCAAACATGACTCCTTGTAAAAAAAGGTGTCAGTTTTGTTGCCAGATAGAAGGGTAAAGAACCAATTATCATATTTTTACTGGCAAATGAGGTTCCCATAGTGTAGATGCTTACCCCGAGCTCTCATACTCTGATGGTGCATTGTCTTTGAGTTGTGCGCCTTTTGGCGTCATCTGGTCCAACCCATATGAGACTAGGCTCTAAGGAAAGCTGTCTCGGGTGTGGACCAATCAACTTCAAGGACAGTGCACAGTATCAGAGTTATGTTCTTTCGTTTGTATTATGACTGCAGGTATTGCGGTCTATGCAAACATGACTCCTTGTAAAAAAAGGTGTCAGTTTTGTTGCCAGATAGAAGGGTAAAGAACCAATTATCATATTTTTACTGGCAAATGAGGTTCCCATAGTGTAGATGCTTACCCCGAGCTCTCATACTCTGATGGTGCATTGTCTTTGAGTTGTGCGCCTTTTGGCGTCATCTGGTCCAACCCATATGAGACTAGGCTCTAAGGAAAGCTGTCTCGGGTGTGGACCAATCAACTTCAAGGACAGTGCACAGTATCAGAGTTATGTTCTTTTGTTTGTATTATGACTGCAGGTATTGCGGTCTATGCAAACATGACTCCTTGTAAAAAAAGGTGTCAGTTTTGTTGCCAGATAGAAGGGTAAAGAACCAATTATCATATTTTTACTGGCAAATGAGGTTCCCATAGTGTAGATGCTTACCCCGAGCTCTCATACTCTGATGGTGCATTGTCTTTGAGTTGTGCGCCTTTTGGCGTCATCTGGTCCAACCCATATGAGACTAGGCTCTAAGGAAAGCTGTCTCGGGTGTGGACCAATCAACTTCAAGGACAGTGCACAGTATCAGAGTTATGTTCTTTTGTTTGTATTATGACTGCAGGTATTGCGGTCTATGCAAACATGACTCCTTGTAAAAAAAGGTGTCAGTTTTGTTGCCAGATAGAAGGGTAAAGAACCAATTATATTTTTACTGGCAAATGAGGTTCCCATAGTGTAGATGCTTACCCCGAGCTCTCATACTCTGATGGTGCATTGTCTTTGAGTTGTGCGCCTTTTGGCGTCATCTGGTCCAACCCATATGAGACTAGGCTCTAAGGAAAGCTGTCTCGGGTGTGGACCAATCAACTTCAAGGACAGTGCACAGTATCAGAGTTATGTTCTTTTGTTTGTATTATGACTGCAGGTATTGCGGTCTATGCAAACATGACTCCTTGTAAAAAAAGGTGTCAGTTTTGTTGCCAGATAAAAGGGTAAAGAACCAATTATCATATTTTTACTGGCAAATGAGGTTCCCATAGTGTAGATGCTTACCCCGAGCTCTCATACTCTGATGGTGCATTGTCTTTGAGTTGTGCGCCTTTTGGCGTCATCTGGTCCAACCCATATGAGACTAGGCTCTAAGGAAATCTGTCTCGGGTGTGGACCAATCAACTTCAAGGACAGTGCACAGTATCAGAGTTATGTTCTTTTGTTTGTATTATGACTGCAGGTATTGCGGTCTATGCAAACATGACTCCTTGTAAAAAAAGGTGTCAGTTTTGTTGCCAGATAGAAGGGTAAAGAACAAATTATCATATTTTTACTGGCAAATGAGGTTCCCATAGTGTAGATGCTTACCCCGAGCTCTCATACTCTGATGGTGCATTGTCTTTGAGTTGTGCGCCTTTTGGCGTCATCTGGTCCAACCCATATGAGACTAGGCTCTAAGGAAAGCTGTCTCGGGTGTGGACCAATCAACTTCAAGGACAGTGCACAGTATCAGAGTTATGTTCTTTTGTTTGTATTATGACTTCAGGTATTGCGGTCTATGCAAACATGACTCCTTGTAAAAAAAGGTGTCAGTTTTGTTGCCAGATAGAAGGGTAAAGAACCAATTATCATATTTTTACTGGCAAATGAGGTTCCCATAGTGTAGATGCTTACCCCGAGCTCTCATACTCTGATGGTGCATTGTCTTTGAGTTGTGCGCCTTTTGGCGTCATCTGGTCCAACCCATATGAGACTAGGCTCTAAGGAAAGCTGTCTCGGGTGTGGACCAATCAACTTCAAGGACAGTGCACAGTATCAGAGTTATGTTCTTTTGTTTGTATTATGACTGCAGGTATTGCGGTCTATGCAAACATGACTCCTTGTAAAAAAAGGTGTCAGTTTTGTTGCCAGATAGAAGGGTAAAGAACCAATTATCATATTTTTACTGGCAAATGAGGTTCCCATAGTGTAGATGCTTACCCCGAGCTCTCATACTCTGATGGTGCATTGTCTTTGAGTTGTGCGCCTTTTGGCATCATCTGGTCCAACCCATATGAGACTAGGCTCTAAGGAAAGCCGTCTCGGGTGTGGACCAATCAACTTCAAGGACAGTGCACAGTATCAGAGTTATGTTCTTTTGTTTGTATTATGACTGCAGGTATTGCGGTCTATGCAAACATGACTCCTTGTAAAAAAAGGTGTCAGTTTTGTTGCCAGATAGAAGGGTAAAGAACCAATTATCATATTTTTACTGGCAAATGAGGTTCCCATAGTGTAGATGCTTACCCCGAGCTCTCATACTCTGATGGTGCATTGTCTTTGAGTTGTGCGCCTTTTGGCGTCATCTGGTCCAACCCATATGAGACTAGGCTCTAAGGAAAGCTGTCTCGGGTGTGGACCAATCAACTTCAAGGACAGTGCACAGTATCAGAGTTATGTTCTTTTGTTTGTATTATGACTGCAGGTATTGCGGTCTATGCAAACATGACTCCTTGTAAAAAAAGGTGTCAGTTTTGTTGCCAGATAGAAGGGTAAAGAACCAATTATATTTTTACTGGCAAATGAGGTTCCCATAGTGTAGATGCTTACCCCGAGCTCTCATACTCTGATGGTGCATTGTCTTTGAGTTGTGCGCCTTTTGGCGTCATCTGGTCCAACCCATATGAGACTAGGCTCTAAGGAAAGCTGTCTCGGGTGTGGACCAATCAACTTCAAGGACAGTGCACAGTATCAGAGTTATGTTCTTTTGTTTGTATTATGACTGCAGGTATTGCGGTCTATGCAAACATGACTCCTTGTAAAAAAAGGTGTCAGTTTTGTTGCCAGATAAAAGGGTAAAGAACCAATTATCATATTTTTACTGGCAAATGAGGTTCCCATAGTGTAGATGCTTACCCCGAGCTCTCATACTCTGATGGTGCATTGTCTTTGAGTTGTGCGCCTTTTGGCGTCATCTGGTCCAACCCATATGAGACTAGGCTCTAAGGAAATCTGTCTCGGGTGTGGACCAATCAACTTCAAGGACAGTGCACAGTATCAGAGTTATGTTCTTTTGTTTGTATTATGACTGCAGGTATTGCGGTCTATGCAAACATGACTCCTTGTAAAAAAAGGTGTCAGTTTTGTTGCCAGATAGAAGGGTAAAGAACAAATTATCATATTTTTACTGGCAAATGAGGTTCCCATAGTGTAGATGCTTACCCCGAGCTCTCATACTCTGATGGTGCATTGTCTTTGAGTTGTGCGCCTTTTGGCGTCATCTGGTCCAACCCATATGAGACTAGGCTCTAAGGAAAGCTGTCTCGGGTGTGGACCAATCAACTTCAAGGACAGTGCACAGTATCAGAGTTATGTTCTTTTGTTTGTATTATGACTGCAGGTATTGCGGTCTATGCAAACATGACTCCTTGTAAAAAAAGGTGTCAGTTTTGTTGCCAGATAGAAGGGTAAAGAACCAATTATCATATTTTTACTGGCAAATGAGGTTCCCATAGTGTAGATGCTTACCCCGAGCTCTCATACTCTGATGGTGCATTGTCTTTGAGTTGTGCGCCTTTTGGCGTCATCTGGTCCAACCCATATGAGACTAGGCTCTAAGGAAAGCTGTCTCGGGTGTGGACCAATCAACTTCAAGGACAGTGCACAGTATCAGAGTTATGTTCTTTTGTTTGTATTATGACTGCAGGTATTGCGGTCTATGCAAACATGACTCCTTGTAAAAAAAGGTGTCAGTTTTGTTGCCAGATAGAAGGGTAAAGAACCAATTATCATATTTTTACTGGCAAATGAGGTTCCCATAGTGTAGATGCTTACCCCGAGCTCTCATACTCTGATGGTGCATTGTCTTTGAGTTGTGCGCCTTTTGGCATCATCTGGTCCAACCCATATGAGACTAGGCTCTAAGGAAAGCCGTCTCGGGTGTGGACCAATCAACTTCAAGGACAGTGCACAGTATCAGAGTTATGTTCTTTTGTTTGTATTATGACTGCAGGTATTGCGGTCTATGCAAACATGACTCCTTGTAAAAAAAGGTGTCAGTTTTGTTGCCAGATAGAAGGGTAAAGAACCAATTATCATATTTTTACTGGCAAATGAGGTTCCCATAGTGTAAAACCAAAGAGTACGTTTCAATATTGGCACAAATTTTTTTTTCTACTTGCTTATGTTTCTCCCTTTTCATGGGACTTTGTAGGATGAACGTTGAGATTTATAAAGGGCACGGGGTGATCAATAAGGTCAGAATTGATCTCTAATAAGGTAGGGCACTGATAAGGGATTGACAGGTGTCCAACTCTTTAATCCACGTGGGGACGGTGCCGGTGTGTACACTGTCGCACACCTGTGTCTATCCCCCTGGCCCTGCTTGGCCCTAAGGCAGATTTCAGTTGCCTTGTTTAGTTCCCAGCTCGGCACGAAAAGTAGCTGGCGGATGAAGCACCCTTTATGACGTTGGTGTAAACGTGCTGGCTCGGCGGTTGTGCAAGTGGAAAAAATAAAGGTAACGTATCAATGGACGTGGTGGCTTGGCTCAGCTCGCGTGTGGTAGTGGAAAAAATAAAGGGGGTGATGTATCAACCGATGTGTTGTCTTGGATCAGCTCGGGTGTGGTAGTGGGTAACGTGTCAATCAATGACGTTAAAGGGGAAAAAAAGAAGGAAACGAAATGAACCCCAGAGGCACCTCGAGCGGCTCCTGCAGCGCTGCGTTGGTGCCGTGTGGCACCAGCAGACGGTCGGGCCGCAGGGCGGCGATGCACAGCGCCACCCGCTCCAGGGCCTCCCGGCAGGCCCGCACCGCTTGCTCCCCGACGGGGCCCTGGGGGTCCGCCGTTGGCCCCCCAGAGCCGTCCTGCATCTGCAAAAGAACAAAAAACCCCCCGGGGGGAGTGCACGGCCGACGTATATGATGACGATTATGATAATGATACGCCGATGGCGGGACCAAGCCATTGGCTGCCTCACCCCGCCGCCCCCAGCGGCACCTATTTTATTGCTAGAAAGGTTAAAACTTGTTCTTATTTTTTCATACTTTGATACTGCCAACAAAAGGTCCCATTTTGTAGCTGCTCTGAAACGTGCATTGTCTTGGTACTGTTTGCCTTTTGGCATTCTCTGATCTGACACTGGTGGTGAGACTAGGCCCTAAAGAAGGCTGTCTCTGGTGTAGACCAATCAGTTTCAAAGACAATGCCCATATATTATCAGAGCGTATTTTTGGTTGCATGTTCACAAGTAATGCGTGTGGTTAACGCAGACACGATTCCTTGCAAAAGGTTTAGATTTGGTTTTTGAACATCTTAACACAACTGTCTTATTATGGCAGAAAAGGCGTAAACACCGACTATTATTTTTTCACGCTGTTATACCTGATTTTGCAATGGTGTTCTTGGCGGTGGCAGTGACGGCGATGGCCGTGATGGTGCCTGCGGGCGACTGGCGGACTCAAGTCCTGCCGCGTCCACGCTGGCCCGAAGCAGCCTCAGGCCGCCGAGCAGGAGCTCCGCGGAGGTGTGGACCACCGCGCAGGTGAGCTCTACGGCACGCGTTGACTGCTCCAGCACGGCCACGCCGTCGCCTCCCAGCTCCGGCGACCTATTCCCGGAGATACGCCGTGTGAGGACGAGGGTACCCAGACACCGCCCGACAACGCCGGATAAAGAAGTGGCCATCGGGGAGATACATGGACAATGACGGAGCCATCGTACAGTGGCGGTTCTTACATTTGTGAACACTTTTCTGCACAACGAGGAACACGCACACACCGTTATAACGCGTAAACGCCCTCCGTTATAACGTGTAACACACTCCATTATAAGGTGTAACATGCTCCATTATAACGTGTAATGTGCTTCTTTATACAGTGTAACACACTCTGTTATAACGCAAGGTGCTTCGTTATAGTGCGTTCTTTTGAACGGACGACCATGAACTACTTTCTTGCGCTGCGCGGTTGAGCGAAGCGACACGTTAGCACAGGGGTGAGGACCGAATGAACGTTGAGGATCAAACATACATATCGGGAAATGTCACAGCCAGTACCACCAAGCCCTTCCCGATTGAGGAGCCGAAGGGCGTTCAATACGGCCGTGTGGTACTTCGCTCGCCGCTGATTGACGAAGTGGCGCTGGCAGCGGCGGTGGCGAGATGCGGTTTTAATATGTCCGCTTCCTTACCTCTTCCTCCGAATGCTCTCGATCGAACTTGTGGCACTCTGTAACATTTCCACGAGGGCCTGCGAGTAAAGAGAACCGCGTGCACGGGCGAGTTATCCACTTGGGTCACTGTACGGCGAGCCACAGCTCGCGCGCGCCGCGGTGCTCACACTGATGACGCCATTTTCGCACGCAACGCGGAACGCGTGCGCCATTGAAACGCAGAAGGCGCGCGCCATTGTAGCAGTGCACGCGTTCCCCGTTATAACAGTGCGCGCATTCCACGTTAGAACGGTGAGCGTGCTCCACGTTATCGCGGGGATCGCGCGCGCACACAAAATGGACGCAGGAGGAATCCCACGCAATGCAAAGCTTTTTTTTTCCCCCTCGCCTGCCACAGATGTCAAGCAGGGGGCGGCGTGGTCACCAAGCCAGAACGACGAACAAGAATGAGGGTGGGTGGGGGGAACCACGATCGGAGTGCACAGCGCTGTCCACAGTGGGGGGGAGGGCGAGAAAACCATGTGGACCAAAGCACGGGGCTCCTCGAAGCATTGGGGCCCATGGCCCACCATAGCACTGGGCCCCCAAAAGTGCAGGGCCCAGGGCCCCCAAAGTGCTGGGCCCCCAAAGCGTGGGGCCCAGGGCCCCCCAAAGTGGCTCCGGGAGTGCACCTGCAACCGCCAGCCATCATGCGCTGACCCCAGCACGAATTCAAGATCCTCCAACTCGGGAGACGGAGAGCCACGGTGGCGAGGAGATGTTGAAACGCCTCACCCGGTGTACAGGAGGTGGGTGGGTTCCGATCTCAAACCTGACGAGCTGCTGTATGTCGCTTGAATTTTTCTCCGCATTTAGAATCGAAGTATTTGGCTGCTGCTATAAATGTCCACGCGACGACGATGATGATGATGACGATGAGCCAATTCTTCCAGCTTTCATATGTGATGGCCAGGTCGCTTGTAAAAAAAAGGCTACGTCGCAGCTCAGTGAGCCCCTTACCTGTTAATAAAAAAGTAGTTTATTTAATAAAATAAGTTAGTTATATTTACGTAAAATTGCACAAAGAGACAGAAAAACGAGCACGTGGATCAGAGTACGATGCACAGACACGCCACGGCTCAATTGGATGGTGGCCGACGGCCAAGCGAATGGAGTGGCAGCCAGGGAATGGAACACGTCTGGAGAGGACGTACGACCCGGGAGACAAAGTGATGGAATTGGTTTGCGTGTGTGCAGCCATGAGGCACATTGCTGCAAGACCACAGGCTCATGAATGGGTGGCAGCAGCTTGGGAAGCCTTCATCCAGCAATTTATTGATCATGGCCGATGAGGACGAAATAAATATTGCCAATGGGAGAGTGGGCGAGTAAGGGAATGGAAGTGCGTGAGCGAGCGGGTGAGTGAGCGGGTAAAGAAGTGGGTGAGGGAGGAAGACAGAGGGTGAGCGAATGAGTGAGGGAGAGAGTGAGTGAGCAAATGAGGGAGTTAGGGAGTGAGTGAGTCGGTGAGGGAGTGAGCGTGTTAGTCGGTGAGGGAGGGAGGAGCGAGCGAGCGAGAAGAAAGGGAGGAGGGAGCGAGTAAGTGGTTGAGGGAGTGAGCGAATGAGGGGGTGAGGGAGTGAGTGAGGAAGTGAGCTCATCTCCTCACTTGTTCCTCAGCCTTGGTGGGTCTCCTGCACGAGAAGACGCGCAGGCGGTAGCAGGCCGCCCGCACGACGTCCAGGGGCACCAGCGGCAGAACGTCCACGATGGCCGCCACGCCGGAGGAGGGCATCACGCACAGCACGCTCCGAGCCAGCAGCCGATCCATGTCGAGCAGGAACGAGTGCTCCACCAGCAGCTCCACCAGTCGCCTGGGGATGAGGGGCGCGGGTGGTTGGGGGTCGGTGGCGTGGTGGGGGGGCGGGGCCACGGTGAGCCCATGGGGAGGGCTCCACAGCTGTTGCTTCTGGCAGCAATAAAAGTTGTTTAAAAGTCGAAAGTCTCTCTCTCTCGCCCGCTCGCTCTCTCGAGAAACCGACACCGTCACCGCAGACCTTGCCGCCCATCGAAATTCATACAAACACCCCTCGCTCTCACTCTCTCTCCGTGCCGTCGCCAATGTGGTCGCTCGCCCAACGTGGTCGCAGCACCTACCGCTTGCCCTCCTCGTCTTGGCGGATGTGATTCCTCGTGTCGACATACGGGATGCCCTCAAGCCCGGCCCAGATGTCCTCCTGCTGTTCCTCCTCCTCCTCCTTCACGACGGGGCCAAAGGGCTCCACGTGCCCCCTCAGCAAGTGGAGCACAGGCAGAGTCAGGAGCCAGTCGACGACCCCGGCCGCGATGCAGCGTGCGCAGAGGCCGACCAGCACGGCGACAGGCCTGGGTGGGGTAGGATGGGCGGTTGGATGTTGGGGGGTGGGGGGGTGTGTAGTGGTGGGATGTCCATGTAATTGTAAAGGTAAGCCGACACAAGGTTGCAGGGGGTTCGACTTTTATTCCTTTCCTCCAGTCCACACGTGTCCCCAGCCGTCTCAATCTCGTTCCTTCCAAGATCCCCTCTTCCCACCCGTTCTCACTTCTATCTCCTCGCTTGCTCCTACCGTCCCACTCCCGCTCCTATTGGTGGGAATCCTTCCCCTGACATCCCTTCCATAATTAACACGCGGTAGTTGTATTCAGTATCGGTCCAGCGTCTTGTATCGCCAGCAGACTAAGGTCCCATTGCTTTGCCTCCTTGTGCCATGATGGGTCCTCGACGCCCGCCTACGCGCATCTCGCACCGTGTGGGGAAAGGGGGGCGAGCCGGGCTGTGGACGCGAGCGGGCACGCGCACACGGCGTGGAATTTCGTAACGAACCCGCGGGCGAGCGTTGGACTCGCCGAGCGATGCGGACAAACACCGGAGTTGGGGACCGACAGAGGCCAAGTTTTGGGGGGGGGGGTCTGTGGGCCCAGCATCGGTGTTGTGGGTCTGATGAGCGAGATTCGTTCACGTTCGTCAGCATGCGGGTCGTAGATGGACGGGAGAGAGTGTTTCCACCTACCACCAAGACCACCACCAGGAGTACGAAGACAAAGATCATCCGTATTGGCTGAATCGAATTTCGTGGGCAAGCGCTGTTAGCGAGTAGCAGCTCCTATGAAGGGTGGCACGGCATGCGAAGGCATGGGTGGCCAGCACCACGCCTGGCCGCCTTTGTCTCCCCAGTGGCGATGTTTATACATTGCACCAGGTACTCATTTGTGGCTGAGTCGACCTCGGGGAGGCCTAGAACCGGTTCAGATAATCGTCACTAGTGTTGGTGGCCGTGAGCGGGAAATGTTAACTCCCTCGCCTGGTATTAGGGAGATCTAGGTCCGATTCAATACAGTACACAAAATCCGTGATCTAATCCCATCTGTGAAAGACATGCAATATCCTAGAGTCTACAAACTGAGTTGTACCTGCGGTAGCAGTTACATTAAGGAAACGAAACAACATGTCTCGGACCGTGTTCACGAAAACAAGGCAGATCTGAAACACGGCAGAACCAATACCTATGCCGTGGCTGACCATTGTTATAACGCTGTGGGCTCGCATGATATTGTTTTTTTCCGAGACCAAGGTACTCTGTAAACCTTCGGGCAACTATCAACGGTTTGTTCATGAAGCCATCAGATATATAGACATAACTTCAAACGAGAAGATGGATACAAATTAAGCAATCATTGGAAGGATATTATTTTTTTTATTTAAAGCTTTCGTGACTGCAGGGATTCATATTCTTGGTTCTTTCGGTAAAGTCACGTAGAAGGGAAATAATACAATACAAAAAATATTAAACATAAATTAATACAATTTTATTATTTCCCTTCTACGTGACTTTACCGAAAGAACCAAGAATACATTGGAAGGATGTTATTAACCAGGTAAAGCCTTAACTGTTTGTGGTTATTCTTTGGTTCTTTCGGTTAAGTCACGTCTAAAAATAAAATAATAAATTAAAATAATAGCGACGTTTCGATTGCAACACAAGCAATCATCATCAGGCATAAAAGAAATAGCAATAAAAATCGAAATAGAAAACTATAGACAGACATAAGCAGACAGACATCACAAGGACACACAGAGAGAGGACAAATATCGGCACAGAGAGAGGGGTCGTTTCTGTGACGGTCCCTTAAATATAGAGTGGGGGGGCGGGGACGGAGAGAGGGAGGGGGCAGAGAAAATTAGCATATCAATGAGTGTACGGCAACGTGTTGCCGTACACGTTGCCATACACTCATTGATACTAGTCTATTTTTCCGAGTAACTTCCCCCCGTGTCCCACACTCAGCTTCTCACTTCTAGCCCCGCCTACATGCCCCCCAGGGTCACTTCTTCCCCCCCTAGCGCTCACGCAGCCCCCCCCCCCCCTTCCCCTGCCCCTGCTCCACACCCCCCCCCCTCTCTCTGCCCCCTTGCTCCTCCCCCTTTTCTTACCTATATAAACGCTTGCCACGGCAGCTCTCTCGCCTACTTCAGCAATTTTTCTTGCTGTGGTTGTTCCACCTGATGAAGATTGCTTGTGTTGCGATTGAAACGTCGTGATTCGTTTTATTTTATTTTATTTCTACCTACGTGACTTTACCAAAAGAACCAAAGAGTATAGAGGTCGTGGGTTCGATCCCGACCCTGACACATGCTGTATGTTTGGAGTTTGCGTGTCTCTCTCTCTCATCAACATCACGGTGGCTAAGAGATGTTAGCTGCCTCGCCTGGTATACAGGAGGTCGTGGGATCGCTCCCGACCCAGACGCCTGCTGTATATTTGGAGTTTGCATCTTTCTCTCTCTCTCTCATCAACACGGTGGCTAGGAGATGTTAACTACCTTGCTTGGTATACAGGAGGTCGTGGATTCGATCCCGACCCTGACGCCTGCTGTATGTTTGGAGTCTGCGTGTCTCTCTCTCTCATCATCATCACGGTGGCTAGATGTTAACTACCTCGCCTGGTATACAGGAGTGGGAATCGAACTCGGGTAGTCGGGTTTGTAGCGCAACGCGTTAACTGCGACAGCACCGCTCCCCCTACATTCAAATGTAGTGGCGTAAATGGAGTCACTGTGGCGTGATCTTGTGGATTTTTCTCCGGGTCCTCCGGTTTTCCTCTCCACATTTGGCTGCTGCTTATATAGTGGGCCTTACCTGAAAAAAAAATTGCTAAGCTTAATATTGCAGCACGCTAACCACTACACTACCACTCCCCACTACTCGGTGCCAGCAGCAGCAGGAGCACCTCTAACCACCACCACCAACCACCACCAACTACCAACCACTACCGACAACCACCACTAACCACCACCAACCACCAACCAAACACCACCAACCACCACTAACAACCACCACCAACCACCAACCACCAAGCACTACCAACCACCACCAACCGATACCAATCACGACCAACCACCACCACCCACCACCACTCACCTAGGGTGGATGCGCAGCTTGGCGCACGTCGCCTGGACGCTCGCCCTGCTCTGCTCAATACAGCTGGCGCGTGGCGGCAGCGGCGCCAGTAGGCGGCACGCGATCGACAGCCACTCGGCGGGCACCGGAACGTCGCGCAGATGCAGGAGGCTCGCGGCCAAGAGGGCCGACTGCTCCCTGGATGCGACGGAGGGACGGCACGACGGATCGGAGCGAAACTCGGAGTGCGGCCGCAGGATCCTCACCACCAGCTCGCTCACCAGTTTGTCGACCTGCCACGCACGTGATTGGGGGGGACAGGGGGCGGGAAGTGGGCTGTCACGTTGTTGTATTTATGCCCCTTTTTCCAAAAATTTATATTAAGAATAATTAGGCCAACATATATATATATATTTTTTAAATTAAATAATGAAAACAACCCGCTACTCCTCACATGCCACACCAGGCATTTGAAAAAACGTGGAATGCCATTAAACGGCAAGACTTCGGAGCAAAGAGAGGTCAGAAACTATCTAGAGATATCCAGATGGACGAAAGGTCGATGGCCTAACATTCCCAAGATGTCTGGAGATGCACGGATAACGTGCAGAGCAGGAAAAAACAACTGTACAACTCGCGTTTTCTTTAACGATTTTCCTTAACGGTAAAAGTAGAAACTCAACAAAAAGAACCAACCAACGATATATGACTGCAGCCTACAATAGGGGCTTTTTATTAGTAATCCCCTTATTTTACTCGTACTCACCGCATATATATTATTTTGTATTGTATCTTTCTATCTACATGACCTTACCAAAAACTAAAGAATACGAATTCCAGCAGTCAAGAAAGCTTAAGTAGAAACTTAGTTACACTTAACCTCAGAACATTAAAATATTACTCGAGTAAAACAGTGCAATCCCTGTATACAGATAGACAACAAACGTCAATGAACTCTAGGAATACACGTGGTAATAACCGTGGTAAATCACAAACCGAATAATAATTATTAAGTATTAGAACAACGGTCATCCAGAAAAATAGAAAGTCAAAATAGGTCAACCATGCACAACTAAAATAATATGTATCCCATAGAACCAACGCCTCCCAAGCCACCTTTGTCTTCCCACGGTTCGGCACCAAAACAGGCCAGCCATAAAATCTGTGGAGGGGTCTGGCCTCGGGATGACCCACTCAGGGGGAGGAGGGGTCAAAGGGTCGCGAGGGGGGGGGGGCTGTGCCTGGCATTCCGGGGGCGTCTGTTTTTCTGTTGTTGTTTCTCTCGCAAGAGATGCGCAGAGGAAAGGGGTTCACGTTTTTGGGTTTTAAGCACAAATGCACATCACGCAGTGCAGTCTGGTTCAAGTCGCGCTCAGTCTTGTAACTCGGCTTGCGACGCGGCGTTGCGAGGGAGGCTCGCAAGGGAGTTGGGACGGAGGCTTGCCGAGGCATCAACACCAACCATAGGTGCCGTGCCTCGAGGGGAGATGGGACGAGGAGGGGTCGTTAAGGGCTGAGTTCGGTATGAGCCGACAGAGTTGCACTGACGAGCAATCAGCCGCGAGGAAGGGTAGAAACGCAAGAGTGTCAGTGCCACCGAGCGCCACCGAGCGCCACCGAGCCTCTTCGAGGATATTGTGCCAACGCCGCTCAATCCAGCTGCGGAGAGAGAAAGCCGGGAGACGGGCTCGTTGCGGCCACGCCTAAGCGAGAGGGAACCTCTCTGGCCGCTGGTTGTATACCCCTCCCCCACCCCACAAGCTCAGACAGAGCGCCCTGCCTCTGCTTAAAACAATAATTATCAAGGGAACAATACAACTCGCACACAACACGCACACGAAGAAGACTATTTCAAAAAGTTATCTTTGTGTTTCGAAAGGGTTGCAAGTTCAAGGTGGTGCGTTCAATATCAACTGATCGTGCAAAGCAGTTGCTGCCGTCGAGTTACATGAATAAGAAGTGTTTTAGTCATTTATTTTCGTTAATTGCATAATCTTGCCGATGAATCTATTGACGTATACTTTTGCCTTTGCATATTAGAGTGTCATATGTTTGTTTAGAATTAAAATTACTTAAAACAAAGTGGTTGAGTGTTTCTTTCCAAGTCCATGCAAAACTCTTATTTATAAGAACTGTATCCTGCGTCGAGATATGAATTTGGAGACCTAACATAACATAAACACACTAAGATAATCAATAAATGTTTAATCAAAGATAATAGTTTTATCCTGATTGATATAACTCTGGATAACGAGGCTAAGCCTAATTATCATAACTGCACACATTAACATAATCACAAGCATTTGTATACATTAATACGATTATATCCGTGATTATCATAATGTATACATATAATTACATACATTTGCATAATTTCCGCGAATTACGTATTTTTTTAAAATTTTATAGATTTGTATTATTTTAATCAAAATTACATAATCCGACATATACAACAACGTCACGCCATAGTCACCGCAACGACGTCACCGCAGTAACGTCACGATCCGCTCGTGACGTCGTAGTCACCGAGGCGACGTCACGATACGCTCGTGATGCCGTGGTCACGGCGGCGACGTCACGATACGCTCGTGACGCGTAGTCACCACCACGATCCGCTGATGACGCCATCGTCACAGCGATGTCAACTCGGCGACGTGACGATCCACTCGTGACGCCGTCATTTAACCACTAAGCCGCCAATCGTTCCCAGACTACGTTTTGACAATGCAGCAAGTCAACGGGGAACGGCGATTTTTCATGAACGTTATTTGTTGTGTTTTCCTGGTAACCATCAGCACAGAAATAATTGTTGGGGCCTGGGCGGGGGGGAAACTTATAGAGCACAGCGATACCGGCGATAGGGGGTGGAGAGGCAGCCAAAGAAATTAACTGTGCCAGAGAAACCTGTCCAGCTGGGGATATGGAGCACGGCGAGCGTGGGTGCGGGCGAACCGGCGGGTCATCACCTGCGGCGGGCCGAAGTCCAGGCCATGCCAGGGTCTGTGGTGGCCCTCGTGGACCCACTCCTCGCTGTAGCAGACCGCGAGCTGCTCCACGAGTGAGTGGAACTCGTCGAGTCCAGGGCGCGTCCAGCCTTGCACGAACCCGAGGATGCGCTCGAGGTGGACTCTGCCGGAGATGCGCTTGCCCATCTCCATGTCCCTCGCGACTTTCGCCTTGTCCGCCGCGCTCCTCAGCCACCCGGCGATGCCGCCCGCCGGAGGGGCACGGATGAGGTCGTCGTACTGGTGCCAGTCCTCTGCGAGGGGGTTCACGGGGGTGAGGACGAGGAGGAATGGGGAGTGAAGCCGACTTAGATAACCCCCCCCCCCCCACAGCGTCAATGAACAACGTGGGGGCAAGAGGTCGCCCTGGCAGAATGAGGCTCAGGCCTGGCCTCGTGGGTTCTCACCTGGTTACACTAAAGCAACTTACTCGCCCACCCACCCACCCACTATTTCAGTCACTTACTCGCTCACCCTCCCACTCATTCAGTCACTCACTCACCCACCCACTCATTCAGTCAGTCACTCACCCACCCATTCATCCAGCCACTCAACAACCCAACCACTCAGCCAATCATTCAGTAATCCACTCGCTCACCCACCCACTCACCCACTCAATCCGTCACCCGCTCACTCACCCACCTACTCATTCATTCACCAACACACCCACTCACCCTCCCACCCACTGAGCCGCCCCCCAACTACATTGGTACACATGACGGACACGAAGGAGAAAGAAACCCCCCACCACCCGCCCCCCCCCCCCCCCACAACTCACCCTTGCGCTGGATACACTGGTCCCAGACTTGCATGCTGCGGTTCAGGCGACCGACTCTCGCGCCGTCGGCCTTGCAGATGAACTCGGGCGTTTCCGCGTCACCCCTGAGCAGCGCGTACCTGTAGGCGATGCGCCTGTTGTGCACGGCGCTCACGCTCACCTCCATCACGCCGTCGACGAGCAGACCGAAGTCTTCGATGGATCTAGAGGAGGGGGAGTAGGGGGAGGAGGAGAAAGAGGGAGGAGGAGGGAGGGGGTGACGCGCGTTGGGATAGCGGGAGGGAGAGAGGAGGTGAAGGGTTGGAGAGAGAGAGATAATACGAGTTGGGTGAAGAGTGTTCAGCCGGTCTCACGTCGCTCGCCTCCATCCACACTCCCACCTGTCACTCTCTGCTACCTCTCATCTCACTCTACTCCCCTCCGTACACTCTCCTGCCTCTCCCCTCTCATCTCACTCCACTACGTACATTCTCCTACCTATCCACTCTCATCTCACTCTAATCCCCTCCAAACAATCTCCGAACTCTCCCCTCTCATCAAAAAGACGAAGACAAAGCTCCGCCGTATAGCCTGTAACAGTCTGTAGGGGCAAGTGCTGTTAGCGAACACTTATGAACGGCGGCACGGCACATGAGGGGGTGGGTGGCCAGCACCACGCCCGGCCGCCTTTGCGTCCCCAGTGGCGATGATTTTAATACACTGTACCAGGTACTCATTTGAGGCTGAGTCGACCTAGGGGAGGCCCAGAACCGGTTCAGATAATGGCAGTCACTGGTGTTAGCCGTGAGTGGGAATCGAAGCGGGGTCGCTGGTTCATAGCGCAGCGCGCTAACCGCTACAGTACCGCTCCCCTCTTATCTCATTCCCCTCCATGCACACTCCTACCTCTCCCCCAGAGCCGTTGCGTTGACCTAACCAAGATGACCTAACCAAGAAGACCTAACCGAGGTGACCTAACCAAGATGGATCTAACAAAGATGACCTAACAAAGATGACCTAACAAAGGTTGTCCTAACAAAGATGACCTAACCAAGGTGGACCTAACCAGGGTGACCAAACCAAGGTGACCTAACCAAGTTGGACCTAACCAAGGGCAAACTAACCAAGGTGTCCTAACCAAGATGACCTAACCAAGGTGACCTAACCAAGATGACCTAACCAAGGTGGAACCTAACCAAGGTGGAACCTAACCAAGGTGACTTAACCAAAGATGACTTAACCAAAATAACCTAACCAAGGTGGACGCACACCGATTGCCAAGGCTTGGCAACTGCCCTCGGTGCTCCCGGCCTCGCCGCCGCCGCCCTCACCCGGTCACATGCAGCTGCATAACGTCCTCACGGCACAAGTCGGCCGACCTCAGCACCACGCGGTCCCTGCCGTCGTCGAAGGGGCCGAAGTCCCTGGAGAGCACGGCGTGGAAGTAGAGGCGCATCGTCTCAGCCCGCTCGCCTCCCGGCACGCTGCGTGGTGGTGGTGAGGAGAGGGGATGGGGGGGGGTTAGGTGGGGTGGGGGTCCGCATGGCGGTTCACTCAGGAGGATCGCCCGTTGAGTCGGTCGTCCGCTCGCTCGCTCCGTCACTCAACCGCAGTCAGTAACTCGCTTCTTGAAGCCTCCAGCCACACTCCGACTTCTCACCTCACTCTACTCCCCTCCACGCACTCTCCTACCTCTCCCCTGGTGCGGTGTGTAAACATCACGACTGGGGAGACAAGGGCGGCCGGGTATGGTGTTGGCCACCCACCTCCTCGTGTTCTGTGCGAGCCTTCATAGGTGCTTGCTAACAGCACTTGGCCCAACAGACTATACGGGGGATCTTTATGTGTGAAGGGGGGAGCGGTGGTTCAGCTGTTAGCACACTGCACTACAAACCCAGCGACCCAACTTCAATTCACGACCAATGAAAAGTGGCGGATATTTGAACCGGTTGTGGGCCTCTCCTAGGTCGAGCACCTTTTATAGGCGTGAAAAACATCAGCACTGCGGCAGAGCGTGGCGCTGGCCACCCACTCCCTCGCGTGCAATCCCGGCCTTCATGGGCGCTGCTCCCTATAATGGTCTTGCCCCGACAGTCTGTTAAAGGCTATACGGGGGAGCTTTGTGTGGTGGTGGTGGTGGTGGTGGTGGTGGTGGTGGTGAGCAAAAAATAAAACGCGAGGTGAACAGTGCTGCCTCGGGTTACCAGATGCCATGAAGGACAGTGAAGTGCAGCACTTAAATATACGATTCATAGGCATAGCCTTGCACTCTCGTGGTAGTGCCTTATGTCGACACCACACCCACTTTATCTCAAGTGCCCGTTTGATTGCATACCTTTGGTTGGCGAGCGAACCGCTAGATGTGCTGTCTCCTTCACCTTCACGTGCGGGGTCAGCGCCGGGCCCCTGTGGGTTGCTGCTCTTTGGACTGTGAGGAGCCTCATATGCGCTGTGAACCGGAGGTCCACTCTTTGAATGTGGCGTGGCAGCGTCAGCTGGGGATCCACCTTTCTGTGATGACATCTGAACATTGAGTCCACCTTCTTGAGACGAGATCTGACCATCGGTCGTGAATCCACCTTCTTGAGGTAACATCTGACCATTGGTCTTGTGTCCACCGTGAGATGTCTCACAATCATTTCCTAGAACCAATGTGCGGTAACTCTGCGTGTCCCTCTCTTGACGTGAAGTGTCAATGTCGTCTTCACCAGATGTCTGCACCTCAGCTTGACCTGAAGTCTCACAATCACCATGACCACTCCGTTTCAATGACATGCGATCTTCAGCTGAGATCCTGGCATCTCCCCCCGAAGCCTGAGCATCCATCTCGATCTCATCATCGATCTTGTCCACATCTTTCCTGACGTGTCCTTCCTTGATCTCATCGTCTCCCTTTGGACCGGCATCATCCTTGGGCTGAGCATCGTTCCTGGGCCTGACCTCTCCAGCCGAAGCCACGCCCTCTCTCCGGGAGGTGCTGCCGTGCTCGCGTGACGTCGCCCTGATGGTGTAGGGGTAACCCCTAACTTGGGTTACTTCCCTCTCACCGTCAGCCAACGGCTTTTTGAAATCTATCCGGCGCCGTTTTACGGTCCCTTGAGAGAGAATAAAACCAACGGATCAGCTTGGGGGCACCAGAGATCACACCGCGGTCTCTAGCGCAGCGAGGTGATGCTTTCAGCCTGGTCACCAGTGACTCACACAGAGTGTCCATAGAATCACATGGAGATCCCACTGAGTCACACAGAGATCTATAGACTCACACAGAGACCCACAGACTCACATGCATACCCATAGACTCACATAGAAATGCATAGACTCATAGAGAGACCTACAGATTCACACAAGCCCATAGACTCACATGGAGACCCATAGACTCACACAGAGATCCATAGACAAACACAGACCCACAGACTCACATAGACTCACATAGAGGCGTATACACTCACATAGAGACCCATAAGTTCACATGGAGCACCATAGACTCACATGGAGAATCATAGACTCACATGGGGACCATAGACTCGCATAGAGACTCATCGACTCACAGAGTCCCATAGACTCAGATACCCACAGACTCACACAGAGACCTATAGACTGACAGAGGCCCATAGGATATCAGAGAGCGTCTAGACAAATCTTCATCCTTTTGGTCCCATGTCAGCAGAATCGTGAGAAGCTCGTTTTTCCACCTGAGAAACATATCCCGGCTCTGTCACATCCTTGACAATGCAGACACCGAAGACTGCTTAACACGTCAGTAGGATTTCACGACCAATATCATCCTTGATAGAGGGGTTTTTTGGTGGTTAGGTCGCATAAATATATGTGTCGCTAAATCCGCCACCACCCGACACAAACAATCAGCAAGGTTTGTCACGTAAATCAAAAGTGCAATTTCGTTACTAGTGTGGTGGTATTGAAACGCGCGCACACCAGCTCCGGTTAACTCCCATTACTTACCTATGCGGGGCGGTTGTGATATCCCTAGCCAGGGCCCCTCTCGGGGGAAGGGGCCTGGGGGGTGTGTGTGATCCCACAGAACCCCGCCCCTCGGTGGGGAATTGTATAAAAGGCGAGACCCTGAGAGAGAGAGTTCAGTTGGGACAAGCCGAAGATGAAGAACCAGTTGAAGACTGAAGTCCAGCTAGATAGACCCTGGGACTCTTCTGACCCGCTGTCCTTCTATGGGCCGGGCAGAGCAAGCCAGTGGTGCGGCCCAGAGCCTCGGAGCCGAAGTCCTTGTAAGGGCCGGATTCGTGTGGCTGGTGGTCGAGACCTGTGCCTTGGCTGGGCCAGGTCAGGTAGTCCCTTGAGAGTAGGCGAGTCAGATTGGAGAGTAGCGGGTGAAGAGGCCATTACCTCTTTGAGTGTGAAGCTGTAATAAATACGTGTTGCCTCTTCTCAACCGTCTTTGTCGTCACTGTGCCCACTACAACTGGGGTCAGAAATAGTCCTAACTACACGCGATGGATACAAGACGGATGATTCGTGTGCAGGAACCTGGGGAAAATGACGACTCTGCTGGGGCAAGACCGCCGAACTCGAGGAGAGAGGCCGGGACGCTGCCGACAGTTCAACAACCGCCACAGCCACCAGACGCGCCGCCACCATCGGGGGGTGGGCTCCGGGATGCTCACTCCCGCCTCACCGAGTTACTCCTCGCCGCTGCCTCCATACTGGAGGAGATAACTCAGGGAGGAGTGGGGGTTGCGGAGGAGTACGAAGAGAGCCAACGGCCAACGCTCGTTCCCGCCACTGGGACCGCACCGCAATTTGAATTTGCCGCCATGGCTGAGAGGAGTTCTGGCAGCAGCGGAAGCCAGGCACACCACGTGGGGAGCATGGACCAATCAACGGCCGCCGCGTCATCTCCAACCGACGGGCGCTGTCAGGAGCAACCAACAGACACTGCATCAGAGGTGGTGCGACCAATGGAGGGAGCCGCCATTCCCCCCACCACACTGTACGACGGCGTTAAAAATGAACAGCGGCAGCCGGGGACAGAGCTGTCGTTCCAGCAGTGACTGCCCGTTTTAACAGCATTCTCAGCGGAAGGCGGCAACTGGGGAGCGTTTGAGCGACGGTTCCTCACACACCAGGAGATGTCGGGTTGGACCGACGACGAGGCGTTGCGTGCCCTTCCAGCAACTCTGGATGATTACGCCCTCGCCACCCTCATGACGACTCCAAGGTCGAGCCGTTCCACACTACAGATGGCGCTTCGTCTGCTGGCTACTGTCTATGGACCGCCATCCAAAAGTCGCTATCACTTCCATGACCGGCGAATGGGTGAGAAGGAGTCTCCTCTCGCGTTCCGCACAGCTCTTCTAGCCCTCGCTAAAGCAGCTTTTCCACGCATGGACTGTGAAGGCATCGATGCCATTGTGACGGAGAAGCTTTTAGCGCTGGCACAAGAGCTGGGCATCGTAGTCCTTGCTGCAGACGAAGCTGACATATGCTCCTTGCGCGTCTCAAGGAACATTCACGCGTATGTGGTCCTGAAACGGAAGCCACCCCTCATCGCCAGCGCTTCGACTTCGGCGTCTAGCGGAACATCAGACGCCCAACCATCGGAGGAGGTCTTCACCACGGGTCGACCCGGGGAGTGGAGGTCAGGTGGCCAACCGCCTCAGCACCCGGCACGCAAGCAGGAGCAGCCGAGGACTGTTGCAGCCCTCGTTACCTGCTACAACTGTGGCCTCTGGGGCCATGTTGCTTCAGGGTGCCGGGCCCCACAACAGCGCGCATTGGGACCTCGGAAGGACGATCACCCAAGCTCCAAAGTCGACACAGCATTCTTCGGCAAGTCGCGGCACCACACATGCTCGGCCCATACACACACCGCACAAGACTCAACGCGCTGCACTGAACGGTTGTCGTGATTCGGGCGTCGGATCGTCGGGGGGTGTCGGGTTCGTACGGGTGCTCGGACTGGGTCAGTGGTCCGAGCTGGCCCATAGGGTGGTTGCTGCATCGGCCGGTTCGTCTGTGGTTATGGGATCCATCAAGGGTGTCGAGGTTCGCGTACTGGTTGATACAGAGGTGTCGGCAACGATCATCTCCGACCTTATTTATAATATTTTTCCCATCCAATGTCGGCCATTGCAACCGGTTGACGTCCCATGCTATGCGGCAAATGGAGGATTGTTGGGGATCATTGGTCAAATCCGGGCGAAAATTTGCATTGGTGACATTAAATTATCCGGTCCAATCTTGGTCTCATCTTCTCTCGCAGTCCCATGTTTTTTGGGAACAGACTTTTTGGCTAAGATGCCAATTAAAATCGTCATCGACCAAGGATGCATCGAGCTTCCTTCAGGCCGACGCATGGCGTTTTTGATCTCCCCTACCAGCTTACGTGCGGCCTGCTGAATGGTGCAAGCAGTGGTTATGGAGACGGTACGCATACCGCCGGGGTCGCAAATGTTGGTGCCTCTCCGGTTGCGAAAACCTCTCGACGTGGGTATGACAGATCACGGTGGCCTATTGGGTCGATCCAATGCCGTGGTAAAAGGGTTGGACCTGGCGGTTGCGCAAACGCTAGTGCGGGGTGACAGGGACCCCTTCATCATGGTTCTCAATGCTGGATTGCGGACGGTTGTGGTTCCCCAAGGGACTGTGCTCACTCATGCGGCGCCGGCACCCTTGGAGGAACCAGTGGTAGGGCATGTGGGTACTGGTCCTGCTCCGCATTCGGGCCATGATGAATGGTGGCTCGACTCGCTTCATTCCGGATCCAGTGACCTGTCCGAGCCACAACATTCCGCGTATGAGCGCTCTTTTACTTGATTTTTTTGGAGGTCTTCAGCAAACAAAAGTATAACATTGGATGTACTAACTTACTGCGTCACCACATTGATACGGGTGACGCCGCCCCTATTCGCCAAAATCTGTTTCGGTTGAGTCCCGCCAAAAAGGATCATGTCAAATTGGCCGTTAATGACATGTTATCTGCAGACATTATCTCCCCTTCCACCAGTTTAATGGGGGGCTCCCATTGTACTCGTCAAGAAGCACGATGGATCCCTGAGATTTTGTGTAGACTTTCGCCGCCTTAACAAGATCTCTATGGCCGACGCCTACCCACTTCCTAGGATGGATGAATCACTGGATGATTTAGGAGGAGCACGGTATTTTTCCACTTTGGACCTGCTATCGGGATTTTGGCAACTCCTTCTTGATGATGAGTCGAAATCGAAGATCGCTTTTCGGACGCCACAGGGCCTATTCCAGTTCAACCGGTTACCCATGGGACTTCATTCAGCTCCCGCAACGTTCCAGTGATTAATGGCATTGGTTTTAGCCAGGCTCCAATGGGACGCCTGTTTGATTTATCTGGGTGATGTAATTGTCTTCAGCAGGACGTTCGAGGAACACCTCGAACGTGTGAGGGCTGTATTCGTGAAGATGAGGTCCGCTAATTTGAAGTTTAAGCCACAAAAGTGCCACCTCCTCCGGGAGTCCGTATGGTACTTGGGACACATAGTGAGTCGGTCAGGTATCTCCACGAATCCTGCTAATATGCAGTGCGTCAGTTCGTGGACTACACCCACTTTAGTCAGTAAAGTCTGTTGTTTCATTGGGCTTGCCTCATACTATCGACGATTCGTCGCCAACTTTGCCACCATTGCAAAACCCTTACACGCTTTGACGGCAAAGGGTGTGAAATTCTGTTGTGGTCAGGAAGAGGAGGCTGCTTTCTGCTCCCTTCACGATGCCCTGGTGAGTGCTCTGCCTCTAAGTTACCCTGATTTCACTGAGCCTTTTCTGCTCGACACAGATGCCAGCAACACCGGCATTGGCAGAGTACTCTCGCAGCTCATTGGGGGAGTCGAACGCTTTGTCGCCTACGGCAGTAGGATGCTGTTATCAGCAGAACAGCGCTACTGCATCACCTGTTGCGAACTATTAGCTATCGTTTGTTTTGTACAACAATTTCAGCCGTATCTCTACGGACGGCACTTCACTGTCCGTACTGACCATGCGGCACTGCAATATGCCCGTCGTGTTGAACAACCACTGGGACAATTGTCTCGGTCGCTGGAAGTTCTCCAAGACTACAATTTCACGACCACCTACCGTAAGGGTATTCGTCACACCAACACGGACGCTTTGTCATGATTGACACCCGGCACTGAGTGTGCCTGTTTTCTTGGGTCGGGACGTTGCAAACCGCAGAGTGATGCCCCATCCACAGTTCTGGCTGCTGCTGCGGATGTGCCGGTCCCTGAGATCCCTCTCTCGCCGGAAGGCAGGGATTCATTGCTCAATTTGACCCTTACCGATTGGGGCCGCTTCCAAATGGAGGACGTATCCCTACTTACATTGAGTCATCGGGCGTGTGGATCCGCAAAGGGCGTGGTCGGGGTTGACTCTTGGGTAGTGCGGAGTGGTCTTCTCATGCAATGGGACGGTAGGTCCCTTCGCTAATCGTTGTGCCATCCGCTCTGCGGCGTAGGGCGATTCTGGCCATGCACGAGTGACTCCTGCATCTGGGGTCTCACAAGACCCTTGCAATGCTCCAGCTTGATTTCTTTTGGCCGGGCATGGCAAGGGATGTGTCGAACATCCTTATGGGTTGAAATCAGTGCGCCCAGCGGAAACCACCACCCAAGGCGTCCAGTCCGCATCTACAATCGATTCGGGTCACCCGCATCAACTAGCTCGTTGGGCTCGACATTTTGGGGCCGTTCCCCGCGACACCTAGGAGTAATAAGTACCTACTGGTTGGCATAGAATATTTCACTCGATGGCCCATGGCTTGGCCGCTTGCCAACCAGTCGGAAGCAGCTGTTACCGAGGCCTTCGTCCAGGGCTATGTCCTGGACAAAGGTGCTCCGGAGCGGCTGCTGACCGACCAGGGAAAGAATTTATCTAGCTCCCTGCTGCGTGTGGTGTGTGACCTCCTGGGTACTAAAAAGGTACATACCTCTCCGTACCACCCTCAGACGTACGGGATGGTGGAGTGGCTCCACAGGATGCTAATGTCCATGTTATGCCACCAGGTGTGCGACTCACAAGTAGATTGGGATCTTCATATCCCATGAGTTATCGCCGCCTCTAGGATGGCCCCCCACGCAGCAACTGGGTTCTCCCCCTTCTTCCTTATGTACGGGCAGGACGTTGACCCTCCCGTGGAAGCCCAGCTGCGGGTTTCCACCCCCACGCAAAGTCTAAATTGGCTGACCACGTTAAATTCAACGTTTTGAAATTGGCTGAGGCACGGGAGGCTGCCGCCCAAAACTCGAACTCTCGCCAGAAGGCGAATGAACGCCTGCGCGCGCACCGGACACACACGCATGGGTGGAAGCCGGGCAACAAGGCCGTGCTACATTGTCCCCAGGTGCCATTGGCGACATCGCCCAAACCGCTGGGGCCTGTTGAAATTGCATAGGTCGCACGCCCGCAATGTGTCCGGATCAGGTGGGGAAAACGTTGTTGGTATGTTCACCCCTCACGTCTGAAACCGTTCGTCGTGCCACATAGCTCCCCTATACTTCAGAAGGGCCGAGCATGTGATGTGTCCGTCGCCTCTGAAAATGTGGTATCGCTGCCTGATCTTCACCTGCCACTAACTGTTCCGCATTCAGATGCCCCAGAATTTACAGCTTCACGAGCGCATCCACCACCCAATCCCAATGGCGAGTGTGCAACCGGGCAGCCCACTTCGTTCCCTCAGGGGCTACCCGTCTCAGCCACCGGATGACCCAGCCCTGCCCATTACGACGGACCATCCACTCGAACTCGTGCTAGATTGCACCGTTCTTCTTGATGTTTTGGCTGGATCCATCACACCCACACGCGCGTCACCACGGATTTTGCGTTGATTTCAGGCGGATTGCATTGCCTGGCCGGGTGGGGGGGGTGGTGTGTATAATTGTCCATAGTGTTTATTTGTACAGGTGGGCTGGGGTAAATTATTGCGTGTGTTACTGTTGTTGTTGTTGTTCTTCTTTTTAATGAGGCACACGGAAATCCGGTTCATGTTAAGATATTTTATTATAGTTGTTGTTGCAGTCGGGATGGCTGCGGGCTGTAGAGAGGGGGGGGGGGGTGATGTGGTGGTGGTATTGAAACGCGCGCACACCAGCTCCGGTAAACTCCCATTACTTACCTGTGCGGGGCGGGTGTGATATCCCTAGCCGGGGCCCCTCTCGGAGGGAGGGGGCTGGGGGGTGTGTGTGATCCCACAGAACCCCGCCCCTCGGTGGGGTATGTATAAAAGGCGAGACTCTGAGAGAGAGAGTTCAGTTGGGACAAGCCGACGACAAAGAACCAGCTGAAGACCGAAGTCCAGCTAGATAGACCCTGGGACTCTCCTGACCCGCTGTCCTTCTAAGGGCCGGGCAGAGCAAGCCAGTGGTGCGACCCAGAGCCTCGGAGCCGATGTCCCTGCAAGGGCCGGATTCGTGTGGCTGGTGGTCGAGACCTGTGTCTTGGCTGGGCCAGGTCAGGTAGTCCCTTGAGAGTAGGCGAGTCAAATTGGGAATACCTTCCTTGAGAGTAGCGGGTGAAGAGGCCGTTATCTCTGAGTGTGACGCTGTAATAAATACGTGTTGCCTCTTCTCAACCGTCTCTGTCGTCACGGTGCCAAATACACTAGTACAGCCACACCGGTTGTATGTTGGAGCGTAAGCCCACTAGTAACCAATTGGCATGTTCTGGTTAATGTGACAAACCTTACTGATTGGCTGTGTCGGGTGGTGACGGGTTTACACATTTATATTTTTTACCCAAAAAAAACCCGTCTATTATGAACGGAAAGACTGATCCACGCCATTTGTGTTCTCCCACATTGACTCCCGTAATGCCCTGCGCTTATTTTTGGCACTCCGAGCAAACTCCTCAACAGGCTGTACAGAGTTCACAATGCGGCTGCCAGGGTGCTAGCTGGTGACACTCCCCTTTAAACATCACACCACTCACCTGCGGCTTCTGTCCCTTCACTGGAATCGCTGTCCGTACCCCCCCCCCCCCCCATAGTGATTTTAAGATTCTCCTGCTGATATTCAAGGCTTTACATGGACTTGATCCATCCCTACGTACATGACCTCCTTCATCCACGAATATTCCATCGAGATCATTAAGATCGCCACACTGTGCATTGCTCACCATAACCACGGTGGGGGGGGGGGGGTGACGGCGCCTTGGAAATTGCGGCCACTAAACTCTGGAACTCTGTGCCCCTTCGAGGTCAGGGGACTTCCCAGACACACATCTTAAAATCTCGACTCGAAACGTCTCTGTTTAAAATGTCTCTCTCTCTCGTTAGTTATTTTCAAACGTCTTTCTCGCTTCTTCTTCTCTCCTTGCTTGATGCTTAACTATGTCTGCCTTTCAATGCACAGCGCCCTGAGAACTATTTAGTTCAGGGGCACTTTATACATTTACATTATTAGTGTGCATCGGGGGCACTCACTCGGGGTCATTCACTCGGGGTTATTCAGCAGAGGTCACTCACCCCCTAAGTCGTCCTCGTCAGGGATGCGCATCTCGCCTCCTCGCTCCTCGAGTCCACCTTCCGACATGGTCACTTCACACAAAGACAAAGTTCCCCCACACACCGTATAGCCTCAACAGCACTTTTGAGGCAAGTGCTGGTCGCAGCGAGCAGCTCCTTGCGATGTGGCTACACGGCACCATGCGGATAGTTCTCTAACTCACCAGGTGAGTGTGTGATAGTTCTCTAACTCACCAGGTGAGTGTGTGAATGAGTTATCTAACTCACCAGGTGAGTGTGTGAGAGTTCTCTAACTCGCCAGGTGAGTTTGTGAATGAGTTATCTAACTCACCAGGTGAGTGTGTGAGTGAGAGTTATCTAACTCACCAGGTGAGTGTGTGAGTGAGTTATCTAACTCACCAGGTGAGTGTGTGAGTGACAGTTCTCTAACTCACCAGGTTAGTGTGAGAGTGAGAATGGGTCTCTATCTCACCAGGTGTGTGAGTGAGAGTTATCTAACTCACCAGGTGAGTGTGTGAATGAGTTATCTAACTCACCAGGTGAGTGTGTGAGTGAGAGTTATCTAACTCACCAGGTGAGTGTGTGAGTGAGAGTTCTCTAACTCACCAGGTGAGTGTGTGTGAGAGTTCTCTAACTCACCAGGTGAGTGTGTGAGTGACAGTTCTCTAACTCACCAGGTGAGTTTGTGAATGAGTTATCTAACTCACCAGGTGAGTGTGAGAGTGAGAATGGGTCTCTATCTCACCAGGTGTGTGAGTGACGGTTCTCTAACTCACCAGGTGAGTGTGTGTGAGAGTTATCCAACTCACCAGGTGAGTGTGTGAGTGACAGTTCTCTAACTCACCAGGTGAGTGGGAGAGTGAGAATTGGTCTCTATATCACCAGGTGAGTGAGAGTGACATCATTTGAGAACCGAGGCGACCTAGGAGAGGAGGCTCAGTCACCGGTGTTGAGGATCGTGAGCGGGAATAGAACTCGGGCCGCTCGGTTCGCCGTTCCACACTCAACAAAGATACAGATCAAGGTTCCCCGTGTAGCCTTACCGGACCATTGGGGCAAGTGCTGTTAGCGAGCACCCTTGAAGGCCGGCACGGCGCACGAGGGGGTGAGTGGCCAGCACCACGCCCGACCGCCTTTATCTCCCCAGTGGTGATGTTTACACACCGCACCAGATATGCATTTGAGGCCGAGTCGACCTTGGGGAGGCCCAGGACCGGTTCAAACAATTGTCACTGGTGTTGGCCGTGAGCGGGAATCGAACTCTGATCGCCGGGTTCGTAGCACAGAGCAGCTAACCGCTACCCACAGACACACACAAACAAACACAGACACACACAGACACACACAGACAAACACACACAGACACACGCACAACCCTGCACACCCCATTCTGGCTGGGCCAGGCCTTCTTACCTTGAGTCGTCACCGTGCCGCATCTCCCCCCCCCAATTTTCTGTCTTCCTGTCCAACGCAAGCATCGCCCCGTCCTCTCTTTAAGTACAGCTCAGTGGCTATGGGGCGTGTTGGGCGGTCGTGGTGGGAGGCAGACAGGGAGAGAGACGATACGGGGGGTGTGGAGGACGTGGGGGAAGTGGGGGCACTGTTTGCGTGGAGCGTCGGAAAGCCCCAAACTTTACCCACCTGTAGACGCAGACGTCACCTGGGGGACATTCCCCGCATGCCACCACCCCTGGGCGAGGTGGAAGCCACCGACCCTGACGCCTGCTGCACATTTGGAGTTTGCGTGTCTTTCTCTCTTTTTTTTTTTACGATCAGAGGAAACAAGAAGATGCTCGGTGTCGTCGGTACTTTGCTTCGTTAATCATTTCGTATTTTTTGTTTTTTTTCAATGCTTTGCTGTATGTGCCCCCCCCCCCCTTTTTTAAATGAAAGATTTCACGCTCTGCTCTCCTCCTTCTTACCCCTTCCCTCTCTCTCTACCCCCCCCCTCTCTCTCTCTACCCCCCCCCCCCCTCTCTCTCTACCCCCCCTCTCCCTCCTCTATATCTATGTTCCCCCTATTTTCTATGTAATATTTTTTCTCATCATCATCACGGTGACTAGGAGATGTTAACTTCCTCTCCTGGTATGCACGAGGTCGTGGGTTCGATCCCAACCCTGACGCCTGCTGCATATTTTGAGTATGTCTCTCTGCCCGTGGTCGCGTGGATTTGTCTCCGATTTTCCCCTCCACATTTAGGAACCAACACGCGTTTTAGAGTATTTGGCTACTGCTATACATTCCCACGTGATGGCGATGATGATAAGTCACTTCGTTGAGCGATCATTTGTGGCCAGGTCGTTTCTGAAAATTAACTATGTAGCTCAGTGGGGCCTAACCTGGTGAATAAAGCTCGTTATGAAAACTAAACTACTTTTTCATTTTTAAACCGGAAAGGCTCACTGAGGTATCTCGCTCTTTCTCAGAAGCGACCTGGATTTCACACGTGGGAATTTAATCGCAGCAGCAAAATAATTCAAACGCGTGGTGATGTTGATTCTAAATAAAGAGGGGGGAAAACCGGAGGTACCTCGAAGACAAATCCACGCGACCACGGGGAGAGAGAGGAGAGAACACGCGGACTCCAAATATACAGCAGGCATAGCCAGGGTTGGGATCGAACCCACGACCTCCTGCACAACAGGCGAGGGAGGTAACATCTCCTAACCACCTTGATTATGATGATGATAAGAGAGAGAAAGATACACACTCCAAATATACAACAGGCATCGCCAGGGTCGAGATCGAACCTACGATCCTCCTGCACACCAGGCGAGGGAGGTAACATCTCCTAGCCACTGTGTTCGGAGAACTTGCATCTTTGTGTGGGGCACACGGGGAAACGAAGTCACAATAGGAAGTGAAACTGGCAGGCCCCCCCACCCCGCCTCCTCCTTCTGGAATGTTTGCCTCAGTTGGCCCGACTTAGCGGAGGGGCTTTCCGGAACTCTTTAAAAAAACATTTTTAAAACAACGGTTTTATTTTGAAGTGCACTCAAAAGTAAAAAATAACTTTTTTCAGCCGTCACCAGCCTATGAGAATATTTTTCTACATTTGTAACTAAAAGATAAAACCATCGGTCGCTCCATAAATATGTTTATGCATAATGAGTTGCTTTCGAAATTTCGAGTTTCATAAAAGTGTATTTGCATGATAGAATGTATGTAAAAATTATTGCCAATCATTTTTAGTCGAAGGGAAAATGTTGATAATGATATCATTCAACTTTGCGATGAATTGTAGAACATTTACAAGTGTTTTGAGTATAATTATTAATTCTGTATTAGTGGCTCTTTCTACTGGTATCCGTGTTGAACTGCTTTTTAAGAACAGTTGACCGCAAAGTGATCCAAAGTATACCTAAACCCATTTGTTTTCTCAACTTCCTATGGCGACTTCTATTATTTGTCAGAGTATATCAGTCGAAGGAAAGATAGTTTTATATGTAAAAAGACTCCGTGCACTCGCGCTTGCGGGGGATTTGGCTCTCGGACGGTGGGGTTTAAGACCGAAATAATTTGCCAGCCGGCACGCCCTAAGCCCCGTGGTGGGAATAGGCTATTCCGGTTTCCCATCCGTAAACTTTAATGTAGTTTAATTAACACATTTGTGCCGTTTCTAGTATTCATTATTTACTTATTGCACGACATCGACCGTACCAAGTGACGCCAATTGCGTGGGGGGAGGGGGGGAGCGGACCCTGCCAAGTGATGCGCTTTCGCTCCAGCTCACGGGGGACATTTTATTTTACGCGTTTTACAGCCAACACATACACACATCACGCTGCGGATATTTATTCACAGTTTCATGTCCCCTTCGCCCCCCCCCCCCCAACACGATGCGTCCAGTTTATACTACAGACTCCGCAGGTAATAATCTTTTACTGCTTACATACCATTATTCTTGCACGGGCGTGGGATGCTGGGGAGGGGGGATAGCGGCCCAGCCCCTAGCCTGGCAACGTGCCAACTCTGCCGCCTCGCCAATGTAGGCCAGGATGGGGACTACGCATGGCACAAGGCCTCAACACGCCTATGGTAAGTACACATTTCCTTGCTTTTTACACTAACAACTCAAGTCCATTGTTTACTATTGTTAAACACATTAGTTCACAAACATTACAATAATAATGTTTGTGTGCAGATAAAAACTCAGCTTCATTGTTCAATATTATGAAACAAGTTCACAGATGTTACAATAATTATGTTTTTGTGAAGATAACAACTCAGGTTCATTGTTTACCATTATGAAACAAGTTGACATGTTACAATAATTATGTTTGTGTACGCAAAACTCTTTTTGGATTTTTGCGTTGCTCAATTTCCCCTTTTTTTGCTGCACTTTAATAACGCTGCCACGGTCTACTGCCGGTCTGTAATTTCTGCTTATTTCTTAAATGCATTTCTATTGTTTCCATCGCTCACGTCACGCTATTTACTCATATGTAATACTGCGATACTGATAGCTGTGCCATCATCGGGGATTGCTGTGCCCGTCGATGTGTGTGTGTGAATCCATGTGTGTGTCTTTGAGTCCATATGTGTGCGTGTAGAGCCATACGTGTCTTTTACTCCATGTGGGTGTCTTTTTCGAACGGACAACGTCAAAGTGTTTATGTGTGTGTGTTAGTCCATGTGTGTGTGTCAGTCGATCTGTGTGCATGTACGTCGATGTGTATGTCAGTCCATATGTGTGTGTGTTAGTCAACATGTGTGTGTAAGTCTATACATGTATGTGTCACTCGATGTGTGTGTGTAAGTCAATGCGTCTGTGTGTGAGTCCATATGTGTGTTAATCCATGTCTGTGTATCTAAAGTAGATATCTGTGTGTCACAGTCCATATGTGTATGTGTGTGTAGGGCTATGTGTGTGTCAGTCTATGTATGTTTAAGTTCATGTGTGTGACTTAGTCCATATGTGTGTGTGTAAATACATATGTGTGTTTACGTCAATGTGTGTTTTAGTACACGTATTGCTGTGTGCGAGTCAGTGTGTGTGCGTGAGTCGCTGTATGTGTGTACATCCATATATGTGTGTGCAACTCCATGTGTGTATATCTCAAGTG